TTCCTAGTAAAATCATCTCAAACAACTTGAAAGTAGAGCAGAGCTAAAGGTAAATAAAATAATAAACTGTTTCCTGATGAAAAGTGTTCAGTGTTTTTCACCTTTTGAAGTTCTCTCAATATCTCAACAGAAAGTTGAGAGTAGATTGAGTAAATGCAAGGGCTCATCCCTGAATTCCAAAATAAACTGGACCAAATTAAAACTGTATCTCAGCTCTTCTCATAAAGAGCTCTATTCCCATTAGCACTTCATCATTCCATGCCATCTGAAACCTTTTTTATTAAAAACAATTCAGAGGACAGTTGGTCCTTAAGAAGGAGCTGTTCTCCACTCCTTGTGGAAGTGGAAACATGATAAAATTTGGCTAAATTCTGTGCGTAAATCTTGACATGGCATGCGTATTTTCTCAGGATGACCTGTATTATACTAAAAGAAAATGCAACACGGTGTGCTTTTTCCCCATTGCTTCCTGCTGGATGGTATCACACTTTCTACAGCACTACCAAAAATGTCTTTTCCATAGAAGACGGGATGCCTAGAGTGGCACCAAAACGCACTGTCAGCAGCAGGGCACGCTCACGGTGTTGGCTGTGAGCAAAACTGAGCTGACAGCAGAGCTGTTTGTGACAGACAGCTTTATAGGTGATAATGCTCCAAAGTGAGTTAATTGTTTCCTGTTCGAAAAGACTCTTCACTCATCTCTGTAACACATTTTGTCCTTTCTTGAACAAAAGAAGAGTTCATTAGGAGCATTTTTCCCAACTGGAAATGCAAGTTAAGGAGGCATTTATATACATGCTATTGTTGGCTTGTGTTCTGAGGTAAGGCGCTGTTGACAGGATGGTATATGATGCCAGAAGACTTTTCACCCTGCAGTAAGTATTTTTGTAAAGGTGTCCAATCATTTTGACAATCATTTTTGTCAACAGCAGTAGTGAAGGAATATTACTGACACTCTTTGTGTTTTATTTTCACCAACAGGTGCCAAGTAGCTCTCATCCTTATTAAGTGTAATGTCAGTAGCTCATTTGACACCCTGTTCCTAATCAACAAAGTTTGTTGACAAATCCTTAAAGTGTGCCTTTAGATTTTGACAGCATTCAGGATTATATTAATGATGCTGCTTTAATTAGTGCATAAATGTTTGTGAAATAAGGTGGAAAGGTGGTCAGAAGGAATATCTTGAGAAGTAAATCCTGAGGATTGGAGACAGATTATCTAAGCCGCATGTGTGAATGGTCCAGCTCCAGAACTGCCTGTCTATCCATTATTCAGAACATATACAGTCAAAGGATACTTTGTGTAACTCTCTGCTGGCTGGCATATATAGACAACAACAAACTAATTTTGTTACTAGCTATTCAGCTGATGTGAGTGGTCAACATCCTAAATTTCAACTTTGCCGCTGTTTTAAACAGGGCAGAAAAGTTATTCCATTTGGGTTTCCTCATATGTCCATTTATATATAGAATATACTGCGTGCAAAACCACCAAGTAACTGTATTGAATGCTGAGATGAGGGAGTGTGCCCACTCATATAGCACACACAAGTGTTAGCACCGTATCTGGTAATCATTTGTGCTTCAGTGATACCCAGGAGGCCTTTTTCTGTTATGCCATCATTTTTACATGAACAATTGCTGTTACCAAAATCACTATTGTTGGTTGTTTTTTTTTTTTTTTTTGTGTGTGTAACACCAGATAGATGGTGACTGAGGCAGAAGGCTAGAGGAAAAAAAAAAAGGAATTTCTTCATACAGCCATGGGGCCAAATGAGCTGGTTCTTCCTTTTCTCCACCACAGCCAGAGCTTCAATGGTCAAGACTGATAACACTCAATCCTGGCAAGATTCTCTCAATTTTTGGCTATTAGATGTAGAGTCCTTAAAATTATTTCTGTCAAATCTGTTATTCTTTATACAATTCATAGATCAAAAAATCTGCTTAGTAATTAAATGAGTTTTTAACCAAGAATTGTGAGCTCCTTACCAGCCTGGAATGGCTGTGTTAAAAGGAGCTGGAGATATCAAAGAAAGCAAAGCTATAAGGATGTACTTGGTAGTAGACAGTCCTACGCTGAATATCTTTTGGAAGTTGTGTATTAACAGATCAGTTCTTGCATAAATTTACATGTAACTATTTACGCTCTATTTTAAAGAAGCAGGTAAGAAAATAGGGCTGAAAAAAAGATGAGAGGCAATGAATTGTGAAGGCACCCTAGGGAAAACAAAAAGTTAATAATCGAACAGAACTGTATTAGCATAGTCAGCCCAGTGAAGTCATCAGAAATGTTTTCCAGTTTTTTGAGTGCCATCCTGAATCTGTACTTACTGGGCAGTTGCTGGATTAGATGAAGCAACGTGAGTGCTGTGATTTATATCCTGCTTTTTCTGAAACGCGTGCATCTTTTTAGTTATCGTTGTTGAGTTGTTCAGTCTGCAACCTGCGTGGTTGTGGGCTCGAGCCTGCTGACCTGAGAAGACTTGTTTTTGCAGGAGGTGCCAGGAGCATACCAAGGGTTGCATTCTTGTGACAGATGTGTACAAGACTGAAAATGATTGCTGTTGTGTGTGGCAGCTTTGAGGTTTGGGGTAGTTTGGTTTCTTTTGTATCTTTGTATTTTGCAATATCTTTCTATTAGGGCAACACAGAATCATTAGCTGAGTTTCCTGAGATGCTCGTGCATCTGTCTGTCTCCTCCTTTGATTGCTTTTATTGACTGGTTTTAAATCACATCAGCTAGAGAGAAAGCTAAAATGATGTAAGATGGCACAGTATCCATAGAAAAGAATACCCTTATGAGTGCTCCAACCAAGTGAAAAGCTTCAGAGCTCCCAAGAAAAAGACTGAATTCAGGAAGGAATCAGGAAGCACTTGCAGTGTTCTAATCCCACTGTTCATTTAACCACGGAATGGGATGACAGAGACATGTACTGGAATGTATGTTACTGGAAAAGTTGTATTGTGGAATGCTGTATGTTCAGTGATGTGTTTCATTAATTTTTATTCAGTGGCAGTCTTATGCCAGAAATTTCTGATAGAGTGTTTAATTGCAAAAAAAAGCTATCTAAGATAAGTACATTTAATGAACTAAGCTGCCCTGTCCACAAAACCTGCCAAGCTGCGAAAAGAATCACTCCTGGCAATTTCAAGAATCATATTTAGGTCACTTTTTGAGACAATCTACAAAAAGAATCTGCTTATTCCAAAGCATACGTGACCCATCTAGAGCATGAAGGGGGAGAGCAAAGAATTTTCCTTACTTCTTAGGGGTGAATTCAGATAACTTTTTTTTTTTTGTTATATCTATGTCAGCATTTCGCAGGAGTGAGACTGGCACAAGACAAAGATAAGGCAGTGTGCAGAGAGAAGCCTTTGTCACTGGAGTTTGTCAAGATAGAATGCTGTCACACTTCTAGCCTGAGGGACAGATGCTGGCTTATAAAAAGATCTTGCCTCATTTTAGCATATGAAATTATTACCTACAGATGATTTTGTCTGGATAGCTTTTGCAGCATTTATCTTCATTTCTGCCCTAGCCATTGGGCATGAATGCTGATGGGTCAGATATATTTTAAGTGACCATACCTCCTTGACCGGGTGATCAGCGCTAGAGACCTTGAAAAATTGGCAAAAGTTTTCACCCTTTGAAAATATTCAGATGAATAAAGCAAATTGATGAACACCATTTTACAGAATTTAAGCTCTTGAATGAAGCACTCTAACATAGCGGTAACAGATCATTCCAAGTACAGAGCATCTTATCTTAAAAGCTGTACAGTTAATACTGTAAAAGGGAGGATTGTATGAAACATGATTGATTCTTAAACCTCCTATCATAAACAGTAGCTCCAGTTGTATAGGATTCCTGAGTAACTAAAAAAGGGTTACCAGAAAAGGTGAACCCTTAAATTGCAGACAAAGAGCTTCTGCTACCAATAGTATTACATCATCAAAATATCTTACAGACGCTCAGAAATAAGCTGTACTTCTGTATGTCAGTGAAGCAGCAAATTGAATTCTCATAATATGTTTTGAAAATGAGTCTTGTTAGGTTTGATGAGGTGGAAAAGGTACTGAGATCACTGGTTTGTTCCAGTACATTCAGTATGCTTTCCTTGGATGTTTGCCATGGCTAATCTTTTTAATGGCAATGTAGCTTGTAAACTTATTTGGTAGAAAGCAAAATGTCTCAGTTTCAGAGCATCACAGCAAGTAGGGTGGTAAATAAGTTTCTCTTCAAGCATGCAAGCCCTCTGGTTACATCCCAGAAATTTTATTTCAACACGTGTCCTGAAAACCTCAGTATTTCCATTATGAATTCAACCACAAGCAGGATAAAATATAGATATCTGTATTTTAAATACACGCACGCATGTAGGTAATATGCACCAGCTTAATGTTTTTAAGTATGTTTATTTGGAGTTCAGCTAATTCAGGTCCAGTATGCAAGAAACTGAGCCTTTCACAGCCCCTTTGGACCTCCTCCAAGCCCCTTTGGCTACATACCCGTACCATTCTGGAAATGGTCTGGGAAAACAGTGGTCCTTACTGCATAACCAGTGAGCATCAAATTCAAAGGTCCATCGTATTAAAGCAGTGAGAAGGCTTGGATACGATCCACTCACAAAGAAAGCTTTGGACACAGCCTCCTGACGGTTGAACCTGAGGCTGCCAGTACCATTGCTTTCAGTGACTTCAGCCTCGGCTCTCCCAGGCCTGTACTCCGGAGATAAACAGAGTTAATTTTCAGGGTGTTCTGCAGGTCACAATAAACATTTTGTTGCGTTTTAAAGCTAAAACAGAACCTGCTGGAGACCCCAGAGTACATTCATAGTGATCCTATGACATAACTTCTGTTTTATCAGCTTCTTTGTGTGAGATGTTCAAAGGGGCTGCTTTTTGCCAATTAATTTTCTTGATTAGTGTTGTTGTTTGAGCCTGAGGTTATAGGATGTTTGCAGGAGGCTACTGACTGTTGTGATGACAATGTGTTTGCAGTTACCCATACAGCGAGGACTCCACCCAGGGAAAGCAGTACATGAATACACGATGTCCAGCCTGGTGTGACAGGATCCTGATGTCCCACTCAGCCAAGGAGCTCATTCTGAAAGTAAGTTTGGATCTGCAGCTGTACTGCTTCCCCCATGTGTCCCCACACCCCACCTGGTGTAGTGAACCTGCTTTGGCAGGGGGGTTGGACTCTATGATCTCTGGAGGTCCCTTCCAATCCCTACAGTTCTGTGATTCTGTGATTCTGTTTTACTTCAACAAGGTTAGGTACGGCTGATACCTTTCTGCGTAGCCCTGAATTTTCGGTTGACCAGAGGCAAACCCTCACTAAGCTGGTAGCAGCACATACAGAATTATTAAACTTCAGTGCTTCCCATTGGAGAATCTGGATTTGTCCCAATTAACCCTTGGACAGTTACCAAAGCACAGGCTTTCACAATGCTTCATTTGATGTCTGAGTTCCAGTGCTGACTGACGATTTGCTCTCCTATAACACTTCAGAGCTTGTCAGGGCTGCATTTGTCAGTGCCCTACTGTGGCATTTCTGAACCGCGCTGGGAAACCGTGCCTGGTTTAAAAAAGAATAAAAATGAATCAATAACCTCCATTAGTCTCGCTGTCAAGCCCCCTGTAAGTAACATAGGGAATAAGGTAATAGCAGGACTGTCATAATAAAAACTCAACACAGAGGCAGACAGAAGCAGCCAGGAGTGGCTCCCACTGAGGAAGGATGTTATTGAAGGAAAAGTCTGTGAAGGAACAGCTTGAGCTCCTGAGTTAAAGCGTGGTAGATATGGATTCCCTCTGTTGTTGATACTGAGAACTGCATTTCTCAAGAATGTGTTCGGCCCTATGTGGGTCAAATGTTCTGTCACTGTCCACTGAAGGACAGCCTACAGCAGACAGGCTCCTAACTCTGGTATACCAATTAGGTTGGTGTAAATTTAGACATTCTCTCAGAGTTTAGAAATATTGTTTTGCACCATTTTTAGAATATACGGTTCCTCTTAGGATTTCAGTGCCTAGAGGTCAGATAAGCTTAGTGATGCTCTATTCAAGGCTAAATGATCTAACTGTAGTTCAGGAGGAGCCTTACAGGTCCCTTGTTTTGTCTCTTTCCTTTACTTTGCTCTGCTCTCCTGTTTTCCGTAGAGACACTGAACCAGATGAGCTAGTTACATGTGCCAACATGCGCTGCTTCTGTTTTTTCCTGTGTGTGTTTGGTCATGGCAAGAACATGGAGATCTGTTCTGTTGTGCTGTCAGTTCCTAACAGACCCCAAACCCATCGGGAAATCAGTGCATGAGGAGATCTCAGCCGTGGCTTTCTGCTCTGTGTGAGATCCCTCCCGCTGTGCGAGCAGTGGCCATAACTGCCATGCAGAAAGGACTGTGCTGTGACTTCTCAGCTCTGCTGCACTGCGGCTGCTTTGCTGACCAGATTGTTTACCTGTCACGTGCGTAACAGTTTTACAAATGCCAAATTGCCCAAAGTCATCTGTCTATCTGTATTTTTCTCTATAACCAGTACAGTTTAACAGGAAGTAATCTTTGCATATAAATCTTTTTTTCTTCCATTTAAAGTAATGAAACCCTTGAAACTTGGTTCCCTGAAGTTTATAACCTTCCTGTTCTCTCTCCCATCAGGGCTATTTACCTCGTGATTAGACTGTTTGCTTTGCAGTATATAACTCACTGAAAGGCTGAGAACATTTTTATGTAGCTACTCACATTTCAGTCCAGCATACTTCCTCACACGTTTTAATGTATGTGTCTGCATGATATCTTGAAGTTTCACCTAAAATTTTAGACAATGCCTGTATTACGGAACTTAATGAAAAACCATTATAAAGCCAAGAGGAATATAGGCTTTGTAGTAAGAACAGTAATGTCAGAATCAAAGTCATTCGATCTTCTTCTACAGAACTAGAATAGGAAAAATGGAGGCTCTACCCAAAATATTACAGATAGTGCCTGGCGCCCCTGGAATTCCTCAAGAACAAAGGATTAAAACCATGGAAAGAGTGGCCAATGGGGCAAGATTTTTTTTTAAACTATGAATAAGGAGATAGAAGTGTACACAAAGGCTTGAAGAGTGTAAACAGTACAGAGGGAAAGGAATTCTTTCAGATTATCTGGGGGGTATAACTTGGATATAATGGGAGAAAATTAAACAAAAGAAAACAAAGGTAGAGCATTAAAGAAGTTAGTAGCTGTGAGGTCAGTTAGCCAGTTTTTGGTCTCAGTGGAACAGAAATGCAGTCAGCTGGATCATTCAGAGCTTACGTTTTAAAACTGCGTGCTGTGTTTTCACTGCAGTTTTGTACTTTCAAATCAGGAGCGTGCCGTCTGGGACATTTCCAGAAACGTGTGTGCAAAACTACAAATATGAAGGAAGCCAAACAGGCATGGGTGTGTAACTCTGTGAGCTGATACCAAGGAAGGAGTTAGCTTATCTGGATCAAAAATAAACTGTAATTGTGGCTCATAAAATTTATTGAATATATTAAATGGAAAAGAACCAATAGAGGAAACAGTGAAATGGCGGTGCTCATTTCTGTGGTTTTGTGCAGCCATCAGCATTTGCTTTGCCACTGAGAATGTATTTCACTGCAGAACCTTACGCCTTGGTGTGTAGGAAGGAACTTAGGAAACAAAAAGCAAATTTTAATTAACTAATTACAGTATAATAAATCCTTGAAATTTAAATCATAGAATCATAGAATAGAATCATAGAATCACAAGGTTGGAAACGACCTATAAGATCATCTAGTCCAACCATCTCCTCATCACCATTGCCACCACCAGCACTAAACCGTATCACTTTTCATTAATTATATCAATATCAATTTTTAAATATTTTTGGTGTGTTCCAGTTAGGTATTGGAAATTCTTCTGAGGGTGTTTGGTAGTGTTAATTCTTACAGGCAAATGAAGAGTTTATTTTTCTGCCTTGGCAGATCTGTATTTTATTTCAAACAGAAATTGTAAAGCTGCCTTTTAACCCTATGTGAAGAAAGAACAGTATGCACAAGTTGCCACGCTGTACAGTGGGCTCTGCTACACAGTAGGCATTACAGATTGTACAGACATGGGGCTGTGAACAGCTTTCATGCAACATCATCTATCATGCTATGGTCGGTTACCTCACCATCATGTTATTTTATGCCTCCTGAGCCCTAAAACACCAAAGGTTGCCCACTGCTAGGGAGCTGCGTTGACGCCTGATAGCGTGAAGTAATGAATGCTCAGCCAAGTGTATATTGTTTCTGCTTGTGCACCGCTGTAATTTGTTTATCTGTCCAAAGATTATGCAGTTGAAAATCCACAATTTTATGCTGCCTTTGTAAATTATCAAGTCGCTTTTGATGAATGTATCCCCACTTCCGATGCTAGTGGCATTATGATCTTGAAATATTGGAAAGGGCTCATGCATACAATGCAGAAGGTTATGTTTTTATATTTTTGGCAGACAACCGTGCTATAAAGTAAATCTGACCTTAAGCTTCCTTACTGCATTAAAGATAATTCAGTTTTAACTTTATAGTCCAAAATGCTGGTGTTTATGGAATGTTACTGCCCAGTCAGACCTGACTGATTACAGATGAGAAAGTCTTGACTGTTTCATACTAAATAAATTAGTATTGCCAGCCAGTTTAAAGAGCATCGCCTGTGGTTGTATGAGAGACTTCAGAGTGTGCAGATTGCAGACTGAATTAGCTGGTAGAAAATGTTTAGTATAATAAGAAATTGCCGTGTATGGCAATGTGTTTGTGTTTATTCCTGAAGTGCTGTGCTGGAGAAACAAAACATTCTGAAAATTATATTGTGTTGCGAATGGCTGAAAGATGAATGCATTTTATGACCCGTGAAAGTACAAATGCTAAAGAAGTCAGTGTGTGAGTGTGTAAGGATTCAGCACAGAACAAAATGAAAGCAATTCATAATGCAGATTGGAGGAATATCATATGTCATTTCCTGCTGATTTTCCCAAAATCACATAATGCTTTTTTCAAAGAAAGGAATGTATATCATGGAACTGATAGAAGATTGTATTCCTAAAGTGTAAATAATTTGTATCTCTGAACATTTAAAATCAACTGTGTGAGGAAATAAACTCATCCCATGGGGCAATATGGATTGCTTGGAATTCAAAGAGCAACAGAGAGATATCCTAGCCAACTGCATACAGTTGTGTGCTGCTCTTAAAAGGAAGCGGGCAGTGCAGTGGGCTGCGTTCTGCAGGCACAAGGTTTGAATGCAAACCTAAGGAAAGATTAACTTAATCTATCCAAATGTTAGTCTCTAACATTTCTTAAGGCCCCAGAAGCAAGGAGTGGGCACTGTGATTTCATGAGTTAATTTATGTGTACAAATGGCTGCAGTCAGTACTGAATGTAAAGATTCTTTCTGCAAGTCTCTCTCAGGAAAAGCCGAGAAAAGATGTGTTACTGTGTGAGCATCACCTGTTCTGTGACTCTGTCCCCTAATTGTGTGATTCCATAAACCGTCCTCATTCAGAAACCATTCTGAATTATTTGTAGCACCCCATTCCCCTGTTTCTGTAAACTGGAGGACAGCTGAACTGACGGCTCTTGTTTATTCCTGTTGGTGGTTTTGTTGTTGTTTGTTTGTTTGTTTTTTAAACTAGTCAGAAAATGATGAGAAGATTGTAATATATGACCACATTGGGCCAAACGTCTGCATGGGGGATCACAAGGTAAATAAACAAAACTTTCTGTTGTTGTTTTCTTTTCTTATTAGGGAGGGAATGTGTGCAATAGTTTCTTTTAATTTTACATGTAAGGCAGTAATTCCTCAACTTGGTAATTTGAATTGGAAGCCTTGGGATTATTTTGAAGTTGAATTCAGCCAAAATCAGCCAATGAAGCAGATACTTGTATGAAACCAAACAAGGAGGAGGATGGTGTGTGCTGGAAAGAAAATATGATACTATACAAAATGAGTAAGGAACTGATGTGTGCACACTTACAACTATCCATGTAAAACATAATCTTTTTCTTCCGGTTTTCAAAAAATGCTTCTGCTACATCATTAAATTTAATGTGGAACCCAGCCAGTTACCCATAAAGTAGCATATTGGCAGATCCGTATTTAAGCAACATGTAAGAAAAAAGAATATTGAATTCTATAATAAGTAACAGTTGTTTCAGTGAAGAAAAAGAAAGGGATTTTACAGACAGCTCTGCTGAGGATATCAGAGGAAAAGCTGAGGCAGAACTGCAGAAAAATGGAGTGTTTGCTCTCCTTGAAGTGCCAAGTCAGGGAGTGGGAGGGGACTTCTGATGGCAGCTGCAGAATTTTGTGATTGAGTACCTTCAGAAAAAGCCAGCTTGGAACTTGCTCAGCTCACAGCTGTGCAGCAGTGGGGGTATTCTGTGCTAGAGGTGGTGTTAAAGCTCCCGAATGGTCGTTCTGGGGTGGGTGGTGGGTAAATACATGCGGATAAATATATGGATAAATCCAAATTGATAACTGTGTACTTCTGTTTGCCGTGGTCAATGTTCTTCTGAGACAGAGCACTTTTTTACCTAAGACCGCACTTAAGGAACATGTGATCCCAATGTAAGATGCAGAGGTTTACTGCTTCTGCAGCAAATTAAAAGTTTGGTGTGTCAGTGGCTGACAGACACTGCAAAAACGATCGTATTTGTTTCTTCTGTCACTGCTGCACTGAACATGGATTTTTGCTCAGCTGAGCTGATTCTGTGATAGGTTGGAGGTGCATGGGAAGCCCTACCTGCAGGAATCAGTGGGAAATGGTCCCTTGGATTTCAGTGGGAGCAGAGAGCTGCGATAGCTCTCGTGCTTTTTGTCATTCAGTTAATCCAAGAAATCGTTGCACTGCTTTGTTTCCAGTCGTAGGGTTGTTCTTGTGTGTTTATTACTGTTTGAAAAAGAAAGATTTTTCAATGTGTAACTCCTGTTTCTCCTGACTTGCTGCAGCCTGTGTTCCTGTCCTTTCGAATAGCTGCTGGGGCAGGTAAACCTATTGCAAATGTGCACAAGTGTTGTGTCGTGCAGTGATGTGGTGGTAAATATCATTTTTTTTTCCTTTACGTTTATATTTTCTACATCATTGCCCCTGTGTTTATTTTTCTTTTTTTAAAAAAATGCCAATTCTGCAACAGGAAAAAGATGCCTTCGGAACGAGAAGATTTTCCATGAAACAACACTGTAGCGAGGAGGGGAGGAATGGCAGCATCCAGAAATACATACCCGTAACAGCCGTGTCGATACATCCTGAGTGCCACATTCTTAGACTGCTGATCGTACACTATGCTTCAGCATCTGGACTCTGTTTGAGAAAAGCCTCACATACCTCACTGTCTTGTATGTTCATGTGACATCAAGTAGAAACGTGGAATTATTTTTTATATATGTATGTCACGATTCTGTTGCCAAAACTCTAAGTAGACAGCAGAGATGTTATGTATTTTAGACTTCACAACCTTCAACTTTTAGTAAGTGTTTGTCGATGATGTGGAAAAGTTAATTCAACATATTCTAAACTTTTATAGGTGTCATGCCTGACATTATATTATCTTTACCACTTCGGGGTTTTGTACATTGGATTGTATAGATGGAGATATCGATGGTTTTAAATGGTATTTTCTTTGTCGACCAAGGCTTATGGTTTGTGTTTTAGTTCTAGTGTTTTGTTTTTCATTTTTATAATTCTTTTCTCAAGTTATTTACTATACTGCCATGTTTCATGGTTTTTGAATCACACAGCAGCTGCTTTCTATACATACATATGTGTGTGTATATATATGTATGTATGTGTATATATACACAGATATATAAATAATTTATAAACCTGACCAAAACTTATGCTAAATATACTTTCGGATATGAATGCTTGAGAGTGCCATATCAGCAGTAGTGTTGGAGCCGTAGCAGGTTTAGTTAGTGAATATCAACAACCAACATTTATATAATAAATAATATATAGCAGTGCCATCCTCGATACGGATATATAGCTTACTCTATAGTACATATATTAGCAGTTTCACTTTGTTGCTCCTATAATCCCTTCTTTCTATGTACTATTAAGGATTGAATGTGAAGTTCTTAGCTAGGTTTGGGTGTAACTTTCCAGAATTTTGTAAACTGTTTTTGTCTGTCCTTTGTTACTGTTTTATGGTGCCAAGTATTCTGTATTAAAACAACAACAGTATGGGAGGAGAAACTAATGGTCTGCTTCAGGTAGCAACTCTGTTGGACGCTGGCTGTATACATACAGTGCTAAAGGAAGGAAAAAGGACCGTAACTTGCCCTGGTTGGCAGCTCAGTGCAGCTGTCGGGATCATCGTGTTAGTAACATTTTTCTCCACCACTAAATACAACATTAAAAGGTGATTAGGGAGTCTGTTGATGAAACACAAATGTATGTTTTATTGATTTAATTTAGAACACTACAGAGTTCATGGACTGCGTGATGGCATTAGATTTATGCTGGATTTTGGTATAAATCACTACCATTGAAATGATTTGGTGTCTGCTTGCAGAATGTTTTCTCAACAGTTCAATCTGTACTGTTCCTACTGAGTACTGCTGCTCAAAGGGTGTCTGCAGCTCTGTATTGTTACTGTGCCATGTTGCATTATAACCACACCGTAATTCTATTTAAGCAAACTCAACTCATGGTAACTTCGAAGGCCTTTAGAAATGAGTACTATGGTTCTCAAGCAATAAAACTGATCATGGTGAACGTTCGTGTGTCTCTCCCTTCAATGCAGGCATCGCGGATTGCTGGGAAATGATTGAATTGTTAGATTCCATACTAATGAGTTACCTTTTAATCTCCTGCCAATTAACAGGGTCATTTTTTGAGTGAAAACCCATATAAGAGAACATACTTGTGGTGTTAATCAAAACATAATGCAAACTGAGAAAAAGGCGTTGAGTGCTCTGTATTGGAGTGTTCACATACGGAGACGTACAGCTTTATGAGCTATTGATGAGATGCCAGTCTCCGTAGCTCAATAAATATGCCACCGTAAAGTGCTTCGTGATTATCTCTGTGTTTGAGGGGGGGGAAGAAAAAAAAAAAAGAAGACTGCCTTCAAACTCAGGCTGAAGCCTCATTGATGGATAAATTCAGCAGAGCTATAAACTGCGAGGCCTTAAATAGTCCCAACCCATCTGCAGCAGTCAGTAACATGGTGACCCGGCACGGTAACCTGTGGAGTTGAAAGAGTCTCAAATTTAACGCATAGAAATTCATAAAATGCAAATTTAACATTAAAAGCAAACAAAAAATAATAATTAAAAAAAAAGGCGCAGTCTGCGGGGCCGTCGGGGCTCCGTCCCACACCGAGCGGAGCTCCTCCGGTGAGCAACGCTCGAACCGCTCCGCTGCCGCTCCCCGCGCAGAGCCCCGACCGACCCCGGCGCGGAACAGCGGCCCGCTCCCATCACAGCCGCCGGGGCGGCCCGGGACGGAGCGCTGCGGTTCCGTGTTCTTCGTCCTGTGAAAGGCGCGCACAGCCAGTACATATCGTGCGTTCCGCGAGGCGCGTTTCGTTCTAAGAAATAAGGAGCGGTAACGGGAGTAACTGTTCCCCGCTTTCGGGGTGGGTGTTTTTGATCTTGCCGTTCTCCATCGAGAGTCGGGCAGTCGCGGCGCCGACGCCGTGTCTCGGTGACCAAAACAGAAGCGGAGATTAATTTCTAAATCTGATCGACTCCGTCCGTAGGGCGGCACGGCGGGGTCCCGCAGATGCCGGCGGCAGTGAGGGGGAACGCGGACCCCGCTGCCCTGCGCTGCGGCAGCCGGGCGGGAGACGCTCTTCCCGTCCCTGAGAGAAGCGCTGCGCAGCGGACAGCGCGGGGCGGCTCCGCGGGGCTGCTGCTTCTCCGCATCTCGGGAGCGCAGCACAGCTCTGAGGGAGGCGGCCCGCAGCTCGGGCACCGCCTCGGGCTGCCGCGCAGCAGCTCAGAGGCAGAAATCGCGTCTCGTTCGTTTAAAAAAGTAGTCGAACTGAAGCAGAACGACCGTGAAGCTGCCTCGCACCCGCCCGGCCTCGAATACGCTCGAGGACAGCAAAGCGCCGGGCGGCTGCGAGGCCTCCGAATGACGTCGGGCTGACGGCGCGGCGGTCCCGAGCCTAGGATGCGGGCGCTGCGGACCGAGGCTCGCGGTGGAGGAGATGGCGCTGGCGACGGTCTCCGCCGCGCTCGAGGCGGTTTTGCCCTCGGTGGCCGCAGTGCGGCCGCCGTCCGGGCTTCGCCTTCCGCTCCCCGTGGCAAACGCCGCAGCTGCCGCAGCTGTGTGGCCGCTTTTCCGTACCGGTGCAGTTTGACCCTCGACCCCGAGTGTCACGGTGCACTCTTAGACCCACGCACCACCCGTATGTTCCCGCTGCGGGCAGCCACTGTACGCGAGAATGGCACGCTGTACCGAACGCCGCTCCCGCCGCCGCTGTCGGACTCGACCTTCCCGGCTCAGCCCCGGCCCCGCCGTGCCAAACTCGTCCTGCGGAGCGCTGCTGCCCGATCCCCGCCCGTGGACTGCCACGGGATCGGAGCGGATAGATTCTCCCCGACGGCGGTCCTTCGGCACTACGGCCCCGGAGCGTTGCGGCAGCCCGGCCCCGAGCTCCCCCGCCCCGCGTCCAGCTGCGATTCCCGCAGCACGGAGGTGCGGCCCCTCTTGCCCGGTTTGAGCAAAAAGCGGCACCACCGTGGAAAGCGCGCTGAAGGCAAAGCGTGTTAAATAATTTATTGATTTATACGAAGTCTTTCCAACCCGTGTGGAGACGACAGCATTAATCCAATTTAAAATCAGGTGTCCTTTTTTTTTTCTCTCGCTTTTTTTTTTTCCCCCTCTTTTGATATTATTAAGCATAAAATCCGGAGGCAGAAGAAATCAAACCGCCAAACCCCTGAGCAGAGGGAGGGAGTGAAAGAAAACGCCGTTTTTACACTAGAAATATACATCACAAAATCTGAAGTTCACTATGTACAAAGTGGCCACGCTGGGGTTTTGTGCTCCTTACAAAACGTTGACAAACGCTGATTGTTAGGAGCAGGAATTAGCTGAAAGAGAGAGGAGCGAACCTGAAAGGGACATAAAAGGAAAACCAAGAAGTCGTAAAGATTCCTCTGAAATTTACATCGATGAGAAAGAAAATAATTTCATAACTTATTCTGTAAAAAATATATACATTTCACATACATCTCGGGCTGTACAATACACCACTTCAACATCCAGCCGCACCACTCACAACGTGTCCGAGCTGGTGCTGCAGGGGCTGACGAGGGCGAGGTTCGTGGATTTGTGCTTTTTCAATAGCCTCGTAATTTTCTCATCATCTGAGTTGGGGTCCAGTGGTTTGTTGTATTCGTCATCGTCCTCATTGTCCGAGCTCTCCTTCAGCTTCTCCGTCTCCGAGTCGTGCTTCTTCTTCGCCGAGGCCATCTCTGCCGCGTGCCGCTTCCGCCACTTGGTCCGTCTGTTCTGGAACCACACCTGGCCCCGAGAGGAGCGCTCAGCTCGGCCGGCCCCGCGCCTCTCCCGCCCCACCCCGGCCCCGCGGGGGATGGCGGCCACACGCTGGGGTCACTCGTCTTGGCCCCGCGAACGAAGCAGCGCGGCGCCGGCAGCGGCACGGCTACGGGCAGAGCTCGTCCGCGCCTCAGGGCTCCTAACACCGCTGCCAAAACACCGCGCGGCTCCGCACTGAGCAGTGCCGAGCAGCGGCCGCCGGAGCAGCCCACTGCGAGCAGCGTCTACGGGCTACGTTGAGCGATGAATTCATATAGGGAAATTTTTTAATCGGTTGCAGCATAATGAGCGTTAAGCACGAAGTAAGTTACGTAGAAAATAAACTAAAAAAAATCTGTTCAGTATCCGAATGGTGTAATTTAAATTATCATCGACTTAAAAAAAAAAAAAAAAAAAAAAAAAAAAAAAGCCCCGCGTGGCAGCGGCACGGTTCTGAGTGCAAAAGAGAGCGGACGGCGGGACCTACCTTCACCTGGCTCTCTGTCATCCCCAGTGAATAAGCGAGCCGCGCTCGCTCGGGCCCCGCCAGGTACTTCGTCTGCTCGAAGGTTTTCTCCAGAGCAAAAATCTGCTGCCCCGAGAAAGTCGGCCGCGAGTGCTTCTTCTTCCCGTCTTTGTCCAAAACCATTCCCGTCTGAGCTGGAAACGGAGAAAAAACAGCTCCGTCAGGAGCGGGATGGGGGGACTGAGGAGGGGGATTGGGTCTGCCCCGAGGTTCCGCCGCTCCGGAGAGGGGCACGGTGCGGAGCCACCTCCGCGTTCCGCGGGTTCCAGCTGTCCGCGCCGCCCTCCGCTCGCCCTCCGCGGCTCGGGGCGGGGGGAAGAAGGGGGTACTGCCAGGCGCGCCCCGCAGCGTCGCACTTACCGGGACAGGTGAGGCGCGGGTCCCGCCACGGAGAGCCCTGTACCACTCCCGGCCAGAAGATAGGCGGCCGCCCCGGCAGCTCCGCCAGCGGCTTCGGATACCGGGAGACGGCGGCGGGCCCGAAGTACACCCCGGCCGAGGCTGCCAGGCCGTTGATGCGGGGCAGCCCGCCCAGCAGGTTGCCGGCGGCGCCCACGGGCCGCCCCAGGATGTCGCTGATGCCGTGCGGCGTCCCCAGGGGCAGCTGCGTGTTGAGGCCGCCCAGGGCCGGCGCCTTAAAGCCGGAGGGGTTCTGCAGGGCGTAGGGGAATAGAGAGCTCTTCATCTCGGCCATGTTGTGCAGCGCGGCCAGCGGCGTGCTGCCCAGCACGAACGCGCTCTGCCGGTTAGCATCCATCTGCCCCACCGCTAACATTGGCGGTCATCCACGGACGCCGGTCCTGCTCCGAGCGGGGCGAAGCTCGCGGTACGGCCCCGTGCGAGGAGCGCCGGCACGGTCCTCTCTCCGCTCGTGGGTCGCGGGCAGCGGCCGCCGGCAAAGTTTGCTCGGAGCGAAACAACCTCGGCACCGAGCTCCGACGGCACGGTGGGAGTAGAGAAGCGTCACTACCGGAGCGGTGCGCGGAGCGCGCCACGTCCCGGCTGCCTGCGGCCCTACGCCGCGCGGGACTCCAGTAGGCGCCGCACGATCGGCTCCGCGCCTTCGCCCGCGCGTCCGAGGCCGCGCCGCGCCCGGGGCGCAGATAACCGCGCGGGCACCTGCGAGCCGCGCGTCTATTGGGTGGCCGCCACCCCGCGCTGCCGCCGCGGCCCAATCGGAGGGCGGAGAGCTCTTCTACCGCGACACGTCACGGCGCGCCGGACGGGCGGGCCCCGGAGCCGAGGGAGCGCGCGGGGGGCGTCCACTGTCCGCTCCGCTCCGCCCCGCCGCCCCGTGCCGTCCGCGGGGATCCGCCTCGGCGCGGAGCGGCCGGGCCTCGGGGGCTGCTGCCCCTCGACCAGCGCGGGGCCGCGGAACGGAGTGGGGCCATCGTACGGCGCCTATCTCCCGCTGATACTCGGCTCTTTCTTCGCCGCTGTGGTACTCGTCGGGACCCTCGCGGGACCGTATGTGGTGACAGCGGCGGCTCTGCTCGCGCCCGGCACCGCTGCGGGAATGGCGGCACCTCCTGAACGCCGGAGCCGTTCCGGACCGAACTGCTCGCACCGTCCGGGAAGGAAGGTATCGGACCGAAAATAATTCTGGAAGCAGGTTCGTAACGCGTTCTTTGCCTTACGAGTGCCTTCTGACGTGTTTTGATTCATCGCCAATATAGGATAATCGCTAACTGATGAACGAGTGGGGAATTAATATTTGTCAAAGTGTTCGTAGTGACTGAGAGCGGAATGGTTTCGATGGGCACGGCGCTCGGATGTGGCCGTGTCCGTTCTCGGACCTCCTTCGGGTGTTCAGCCCGATGCCGCCGCATTCGTGCCGCCGAAGCGCATTCGGGACGGAACCGTCCCAGCTCGAGCCGCGCTCTGTTTTCGGGCGCTCAGGTGAGAAACGACACAGCAGAGCAGCTCGTTGTGTGTCCTCGTTGAGGCGTAACGTACGTACGTGGGGTTAACAACGGCACTGCTCCAAAGGACGTTCAATAAACCACTTCGTTGCTGCGTTACGTTTTCTGTTGTAAACACCAATAGAGAGAGCAGCGAGGGCTACGCCGGGTTCTCACCCCAGCATTACGGGCGCGATGGCCGGTGCGGTTGTCCCGGCGGGCGCGGGGCTGTGGGAGGTGGCACCGCGCGTCTTCTCTCTCCCGCGAGCCGGCCCTGTCGGCGTCGTCCCCCGCCGGGACTCACTTTCTTTGCACGGACCGAAGGCCGAGGTAGGAGAGTGACAGCCGCCAGCCCTCGCTGTGCGGAGGTGCAGAGGCCCCGATAGGGCGGTGCGCGGCCGGGCGGGATGGGACGAGACGGGATTCTTTCCCAGCCGGCCCGCCGCTGTCCCGGAGGTTGCCCGTGTCCACTCCCCAAATCCCCGACCTCCCCGCCAAACTCTGGACGTTTTCTCGCGGGTCGCACCGCGCAGGCACTGTGTGCACTCAGTGTCTCGTGGGCAGTCTCGAGGCTCTCCTCCCGCTCTCGGCCTCTGGGTCACGTAATCTCTCCAGCATTCAGCCCCTCGTACTCGCCATAAAACTGCGCGGTGGGGTGGGCCAGCAGATCATGCCACCGACGGCAGTTGTTACAAATTAACTGTGCTTATGTTCCTGTTCCGTGACTTCCCTGCAATCTAAGACACCGTTTTTTTCCACATGTGGAAGTACGTGCAGTTGTCCCCGCAGAACTCCCGAACTCGTTCACTGCCTTTCATTATGGCCTTCCGAGGAGGCGGGGCGCAGAAGGAGCCACCCAGTGACCTCCGTGGGACTATAAGTGGCACCTCCGGCCCCCCTCCCCGGCACCAGCCGCGGCCCCGGCCGCTTCTCTACGACCCGGGGCTGCGCACTGCGCCGGTCCCGGGCGCTCCGTGCATTTCCGGCAGAACCTCGCGTGCTGCCGGGGCCTCCCGCTGTTGGCGGCATCGCCGCGCTGATGGCTTTGCCAGGAGAGTTTTGAGGTGGGAACCAAGCGGTCTGAGACGTTTCTAATAAGACGTAAATTCAGTGCTGGTAAGGTCCCGAGCTGGGTTAACGTGAGAACGCTGGCGCTCCGACGCATGGGTGTGCGCGTTAACGCGTGGCCGCTCCCTGGAGGCCGTCACGCGTGGGCCCGGCAGCGCCGGCCGGGGGGCACAGCCGCTCCTCGTCCCGCGCCCCACGGCGCGTGCTGGCGGCGCCCCCTGGCGGCTCTCGGTCGGGTCGTGGCTCCTCTTGGGGTGGGAGCGGCGGCTGTCGGGGTCACGGGGTGCCGGGCTCGGCGCTGAGGCTCTGCGTGTTCCCCCGGAGCGGCCCCGCGGCACAGCATGGCGGCGGGACGCGGGGGCACCGTTCAGACAATGATGTCCTCTTACTGGGCTCTTCTTGATAATGAAGTCAGTGCCTTGTGTGGACGTAGTTCCGTGCTGGAGTTGTGAGTACCCTTTTTACAGCTGGACGTGCAGGAAAACTGAGGTTGGTAACATTAAGCTTGTCTGAGACTTAGACATCCCTGTGTGTTCAGAATGGAATATTATCAAATACGCCACAGCACAGATACCTTAAGACAAGCTCTGATGAACCCTTCTGTGCTTCCATTTGCCGTGCATAAATTGCAGTACTTTTTCTTGTAGATTTTGTGCAGCTGAAAAGGTGTGAGAGTACTGCTATGAACAGAATAACCTGTGTTTTACTTTCATTGGGTGCAAATGCTTGTTCTCTCTCTTGCTTTGTAGACTCTATAACAAGTCTGTGGTGCATGGAACCATTCCCTACTCTGCTAGTTATCCCAAAGTGCAAATGTGAATCTCCACATCCAAACAGTGATCAGGGAAGGGTGAACTGAGGGCAGCACTCCACGCAGATGTACTTTGCTGAATTATTCTATTGGTTATGGCAAACGTAGGAGCAAGGGACAAAGGCTCTTGGTTCATGTCCTGTTTAGACAGTTTGTGACAGAGCAGAAAACCCATCCTGAGTCTCTGTAACCATGCTGCCTTCCCACATTCCTCATGCCGTGGTACTGCTTCATTGCAGCATCCCTGTGGAAGTTCCCTATGCTTAGAAATGGGAGGTGCTGGGGGGTAGTAATGCAGTCATGAAAAAAACAAAGCCATTTTGAGGTGATTTGTCGTACAAATTTGGTAGTCTCTTATGATGGAATTACAGCCTCAGTGGATAAAGGAAGAGCGACTGACCTCATATACCTCGATACAGGTTGGGCGGAGAATGGCTTGAGAGCAGCCCTGAGGAGAAGGATTTGGGAATGCCGACTGATTGCAATGCAACACAGCCAGCAGTTGCTCTCACAGCCCAGAAGGCCAACTACATCCTGGGCTGCATCAAGAGAAGGGTGACCAGCAGGGCGAGGGAGGTGATTCTGCCCCTCTGCTCTGCTCTCGGGAGACCCCACCTGGAGCACTGCGTCCAGTTCTGGGCCCCCAACACAAGGAGGACTGGAGCTGCTGGAGTGGGTCCAGAGGAGGAGCACGAAGATGATCCGAGGGCTGCAGCACCTGCCTGCAAGGCCGGGCTGAGAGACATGGGGCTCTTCAGGCTGCACAAGAGAAGGCAGCAGGGAGCAGCCTTCCAGTGCCTGAAGGGGCCGACAGGAAAGCTGGGGAGGGACTTCTTATAAGGACAGGTAGTGACAGGACAAGGGGAAGTGGCTTTCAACTGGAAGAGGATAGATTTAGAACAGAGGTCAGAAGAAATTCTTCACTGTGAGGCTGGTGATGCACTGGAACAGGTTGCCCAGTGAGGCTGCGGATGCCTCCTCCCTGGAAGCATTCAAGGCCAGGCTGGATGGGGCTGTGAGCAACCCGGGCTACGGGAGGTGTCCCTGCCTGCAGCAGGGGGTTGGAACTGGATGGTCTTTAGGGTCCCTTCCAACTCAAACCAGTATATGATTTTATAAGTCTGTGAGTTTAGGCTAGATGGTTTCTGTGCTGTAGTCTCTTTCCATTTTGTTTTAATTCTGTGTTCTTAATTATATTCTCTAACTGGAATATTGCATTATAGGGTTCTATAAATTAAGCCAAGAAAGCACTCATTTATATTTAGACTTGAGCATGTTCTAACACTCTTTTTTTTTTTTTCCTAGGGTTGGAAGGAATCTTTTCCTGCATCTCGTGTCATGGATGAGTCATTACAGAGTTTCAGTGCCAAAGGTTATCTGTCCTTCCAGGAGTTCAACCTGAAATTCCTCGCTGGAAATTTTGTTGTCTTGTGTCCTTTGTCAGTAGTACTGAAGATTTGATTGTTGCACATCAAGAAGCAAGTTCTATCACTTGTCCCTTGAGATGCACTCTTAATTACGGCAAGGTGAGCAGCTTTATTATGGCTTAATATCCTTCTTGAAATGAAGGGCTCATTAGCAGCACCACTGCCTTTCCTTCTCATGTGCTCAGAGCCCACGCACTGCAGTTTACAATTGACTGAAATGCCAGTGCTGCTTTCAGTAGTTCACTGCTGTTAAAGTTCACAGCTCTTTGATATATCTGTTTATTTTTTGTCTGGAAGCTGTGTCTTCCTGTCACTTTAATTCTGTCAGTGGTTTAGTTTACTAAGAAGGCTGCCTTGGAAAAAACAGGCTCAACTACCTACTAGACCTCATTCCAGCAATGTCGGGTTTTTGTTTTTTTCTTTTCCTTTTTCTTTCCCAACCCTCCCCTTCCCTCTCCCACCCATCTCCCCCCCTTCCCCCTTGGCTCTATTGTAATAGTTTACCCTTTTAATGAAAGAAGGCTACAAGTTACTCTTTTTAAGTGAGATAAGCCCTTGTGAGCTCTATTTTTTTCTAACCAAGACTGGGAAATCGTTTGCCCTTATTTGTATTAAATGGATGTCTATACTTTACCGCAAGTCATTAGTTCCATAAAGAGATTGCCTTTCTATTGATAGCCTAGATGAGGGAAATCAGGAGTAAATTGCCAATAAATAGTGTGCTTGTAAGCACTATTGATTCTCTCCGAGCCACAGAGAAATGAATGTACAAGTAAGATACTTTAAAAGGGAGGGGAAAAAAAAGTAGTAATTAGAGATTGTTGAAAGCTTGTAGGGGTGCCTCCAGGTGAGAGGCTTGCAATGGTTTTGTTGTTTCGGTTTTTGTTTTGGGTTGTTTGTTTTGTTTTATATTTGTTGTTGTTGTTGAAGGATATGGTTTGTAAAGGTAAGTGCTACGGATATAATAGCAATTCTTTTGGCCACCCTCAGAAATCTTGGTGTCAGTTGTTAGAAAACTGTAGAATCAATACAACATTTCCTGTAAATCATAGTTTCTGTGTGGCCGGGGGAGTGTCCTAAGCTGCCATGTGAAAGGAGTAGAAAGTATGATTTCCACAGAAAATGAACATTGGGTGGGATTCAAATTTATTTTTCCCCACTTGGGTCTTAGAAGTCTGGAAATGACCTTTCTGAGCTGTTCAGGGAATACGTTTGTGTATTGTAGCGGCTGTTCTGCTGTCCTAGGCATTAAGATCCAATTTTGGAGCAGAAAAATCTGAGTTGGTATGGAGAGGATAAGACTGTTCATAAGCTGAAGGACATCAGAATTCTTCCAAGGGGAGCTGGAAGAATAGTAGATCAGTGAGGTCCACTAAAGTCAAAATAATACTGATTTTCAGAGAGCTGGGTGAATATGGAAGAAACATACAAGAAAGCAATCATCATCTTTGTCACTAAATTATAGAGATGTATTTGAAGGTTGGACTACTGGGTGGATAAGGAATTGGCTGTATGGTTGCATCCAGAGAGTTGTAGTCGGTGGCTCAGTGTCCAGGTGGACACCTTCAGCAAGTTTGCATCTGACATTAAGCTGAGTGGTGCAGATGATGCCCCACCTGATGGGACCGGGACAGACCTGGGAGATGGGCCTGCATGGCGGTGGACTGTGGTGGACTTGGTAGTTAGGTGGGTGATTACGTTGATGATTTTAAGGATCTTTTCCAATCTAAATGATTTTATGATTTTCTGGGCTGTCTGTAGAAAAGACAACAGAACAAAACCAGTCTAACAATAGGGCAAAGCTGTGCTATGATAGTATTCGCTGCTGGAACCATGTTCACTGATACGGCTCCTAACGTCTTCTGTGCACAAATTCAGTGATGAAATTGGTACTTGTAAGAGGAAGGCCACTGCTTTAAGAGTATCCTGATAGAAAAAGCAGTGCTGCAGTACTGCAGAAAGTACTGCAGACTCTCTGGAAAGCCTTTTAATTGTGATTGATTAGGGAATTCTACTGATGGTATGCTGTTCTTCATCACATTTTCTTTGAGACATTGGACAATGATAAATGTTGGACATACAGCAGATATTTAGTTATACTACATACAATACTGGAGTAATCTTGAATGCCTAGAAGCAGAACAGCTAAATAAAATTTGTTTTATGTGGGTATCCTTAGTAACAAAAATAAAGTACTGGACAGATGCAAAATAAAGAACACAGACTACTTTGGACTGAATTTCCTCCCTGAAGTTGGAAATGCAGTTCATCACTAAAGATTGAACACTAGGGAAACACAGTGAAAAAGCCTTTGGAAAGTGCAGTGGAATTGCCAGATCGCAGCTTGAACCAATGGTTGAGCACCATGTGGCTCATCATGTGTGGCTTACCCAGGGAGCTCCAGGTACAAGCAATGCCCCTGAGTGAGTGGAAGGGGTGGAGGCTGTATCTACCCATCTTCTCTCTCATTTAAGGGTTAGAAGCTGAGGAAGCCGTATCTCTCTGAGGTCACACTTTTGAGTTATTGCCAGTTATTGGAAGGGGTGAGTCAGTTCTTTTGTCCTGTTCTATAGCCTATGTCTAAGAATAAGGCTCTGTCATTGCCTTTGCTCCACGTTTTGTCAAGCCAGGCAGCCAAATACCTTTAAAGGTATTCTGTTATAAGCCTCCAAAAATATTTGGTATGGCATTTCTAAGTAACATAAGGGGGTAGTTTGGAAGTGGGAAGTGGGGGAGGATAGAGCTGCCCCTGCTCTCTCCTTCAAGGGTTAGAAGCTGAGGGTGCTGCATCTCTTGAGATCACACTCCTTTTGAGCTGGTAGTCATTGGAAGGGGTGAGTCAATTCACCTTTTGTTATTCTGTTCTGTATTGCAGGAAAAGGCTCTTGTCATTGCCTTTGCTTACCCCACAGTATACAAAAAAAAGCTTCTGTAAAGCTTATATAAAAAGGGTAGCAGAAATTCAGTAAGTTTCAAGACATGACAAATGTGCTGTTGTATCTATGCTTTTTTCACTATTAAGCTATATTATGTGTATTTAAGAGATACTACCTGTTTTTTGTTTATTTGCTTTTAATGCATCTCTTGTCTTTTGTTCTGAAAAGCTCCTGTTGAATTCATCATCTTTTCTTGCTTTATTCTTTTCTAGATCTTTACTTGCAGCAATCTTTGTTCCCATAATTTTGGTGTTTAGGTTTTCTTTAGGATATTTGTTGGACTTCTTTCCAGACAATTAAAAATGAATAAAAATACTTCATAAAAATAAAAAGTTGGCAAAGTACTGAAGAAGAGTCTTCCCTGGAAACAATATTTATTCTGTGCTTTGCCTTTCCTTGCAGCTTTCTTCCATATTCATTCAGTTTTCTGAAAACTGGTATTATTTATAGAGCTAGCTTTTTAGAAAAGATAATAAGACAGAATTGAATTTACACCACCTGAGGGCACTGTAATACTATTTCACTTTGTTATAAGGAAAAATACAAAGGGGTAGTGTTTTAAACCTTCCCTATTTTTCTGCCTCTTTGGATTACTATCAAATTTCAAAATAAGTGTGCTACTGAAGTAAATGAAAATCATTTCAAAGAGTAGTTGTAGTCGGGTCTCCTGGAAACTGTGTCATTTTTCTCTCATTCACCAATATTGTTTCACTGTTTCCTGGGAGAAGAGTGTAATTTTAAATGCAGTGCTATTTTCAATGACCTGTTACCTGTGTGGCAGTGATTGCAGAGTGCTTGGTTGTGCTGTGGGTCTGGACCTATTTGCTGCTTCTTGCCTGTATTCAAAAAAAGTGCAGGGCTGATACAAATGCATCAAATGATGCATTCTTGTGCGTATATTGCTTTACCAGTGTTTGACAGTGAGAAAGAGGAGAAGTAAACTGCTCCCCTATGTTGACGCTATTTTGCTTATTTGCTTAGTTTTGCTAGGCTTACCGTCTGTCTCTTCCTATGCAATTTTCTCTTTATCTTCTCTTTGAGTCCTCTACAGTAATCCGATATCAATTGCCTTCCTGTTATTTTCCCTACTCTAGTGCAGGGAGCAAGTTATCAAACATAGTTCAAACAAGAAGGGCAAGCATTTCTATGCCAGAAGGCAGATGGGTTTCCAGACTGAGTGATTTGGTCAGTGTGCTTCTCTCCTTCAGTAAGATTGTGACAGACCTCCTCTAATGTGCATCCTTTTGAAAGTACACATCAGTACCTTTTTGCTCAGTTTGTACCAGACAAAACAATTAAATCTTCATGTCAGATACTATGTAATACTTGTAATTTTTTTAGAATAACTAAATGTGCTCTTGCTAGGGGGAAAAATACTAAGATGATTTGCTGAACTAATGTGGGAGGCTCCCATAGCTCTAAAATAAGGGAGAGGGCCATCAAAACTGTCTTCAGCCAAAGTGGCTTTCTAAGGTATTCACGCAGTTCCATGATAGAAATTACTGGATTGACTTTTGTGCGTGCAAGTTGTTGCCTCTCCAAGTGCTTAAGAGCAAGCTGTCGATGCGAGTGTTCAAAGGGCTCATGACAAGCTGTTAGCACGGTCCTGAGTCATGAGCAATCAGTACATTTTTAAACAGTTGTTTTAATGGTCCATGAGTACATCCAGAAATAATTCTGGAGGTAGCATTCTGCAATGAAGCAACTAGCATCATGTCTGTATAATGCTCCTAAGTCATGTATGCTATTTGGATTGACAAAGAAATGCTGATTTATTTTTTTTTCTTACGTATTTGTGTCTATAAGTGAACAAGCTTAGCTAATTTTCCCACGACAGGAGTTCTTGGTAGTTCTATAGTGTATTCAGCAGTACGTGGAATAGACTACTCCAGTGCAGTCGGCAGGAGCAGGGAGGTGGTTGTCCCTCTGTACTTGACAGTGTCGAGGCTGCTTCTTGTGTGCTGCGCTCAGTTCTGGGCTCCTCACTGCAAGAAAGTCATTGAGGTGATGGGGTTCATCCAGAGAAGCGCAAGGAAGTTCTGCACGGTCTGGAGCACAGGGCTTATGGGGCTGAGGAAACTGGGGTTGTTCAGTCCAGAGAAGAGGAAGCTCAGGAAGACCTCACTGCCCTCTGCAGCTCCCTGAAAGGAGGTTGTGGCATGGTGAGGGTCGGCCTCTGCTCCCAGGTAATGGCAATAGAGTGATAGGTGATGTCCTCACTTTGTGCCATGGAAGGATCAGATTGGATGTTTGGAAAAAATTTTTCTCCAAATAGTGATCAGGTGCTGACACAGCTGCCCAGGAGGTGGTGAAGTCACTGTTCCTGGGGGTGTTCAAGGATAGCTGGCACTGAGGGATGTGGTTAGTGGGCATGGTGGGATGGGTTTGGGTTGGACTTGGTGATCTTAGGGGTCTTTTCCAACTGTAATGATTCAGTGATCATATGAAGGTATCTGTGCTATCTAGAAATTTGTGCGTTCCACCTCAGGGGCATGAGTTGAGACTTGCACGTAAGAATGCCCACTGCATAAGGCTGGCCAGTGCTTCAGTAGTTTTAGTAGTAGTAATATTTTAATTAGCTTTGAGTTTCTGTTACTTCAGTTCTTTACTTTGTCTCAGTGTAATTGGAAGTTAGGTTATGTTTTCAGTTATGGGGTTAAATATATTAAAAAAAAATTAAACTATAAACCACGAATACACTTATGGGTAAAAATACTGTAGAAAACATGGAGAGAATATAATCACAAAAACAAGGTGGGAAACTAAGATTTAAGTCCCCCTAACAGGAAGACAATAGGCAGAGATGTACTTTCATGCTTACTAATAACAGTATCTCAGCTTTTATTCTGATGTTTGTTGATGTATTGACAGATATTGGTACAAATGAAAGATTCAAATTCTTTCACAAAGCTATAGAGAACGGTAGCTGAGAATAGGAAACGTGAAGGTAAAGATGCAGCAGTAAAAGCATCCTGTGTACTTCCATCGTGTTTCTTAGCTCCAAAAAAAGCTTTGAAGAAAAAAAAAAAGTTCCATAGAAAAACCACTGAATGAAATAAATGTTAATGCAGCTTTTTCTTTTTGCAGTGTTTTTTGATACGTAATTTGAGCAACACTAGTCCTGTGATATCTTGTCAGCATGGAACACTATGCTCTAACTGTGTGTAGTTGTGTAACTTTGGGTCAGCACTGCAGTAGTCTCCAAGTTGAGTTCAACAACCTTTGTAAGTCCTTTCCCACTGGAAAATTTTCTATTTTAAGAACCTTTTTAACAGTGCTGTCTATATGTAAAATCATGAGCCTTAAATTTACTTAGATACAATCTAGTTTCACTTTCTACCCTCGTAAGTGACCAATACCTTTTTTTTTTTTTTTTTTCCATGATGGCACTAATTTTTCATTTGATGTTCAATTTGTCAAATTAGTGATGGCAGTAATCCTTTCTTTTGTACCATTTTCTTCACCTTTCCAAGTCATGTTTGTTTTTTTTTTTTTTTTTTTTTTTTTTTTTTTTTTTTTTTTTTTTTTTGAGGTTAATCCCCCACCACTTCTTCGCTTTCTGTTCTATAAAGATGGAAGATTGGATTTATTTCTACTTAATTGAATGTAAAATTGTTCAGAAATATTCTAGTAAGTTCAGATAAGCTGAACTGTAAGTACTACATGCATCTTGTGAGTTCTTATGTAGGACATAAGGTCTATTTAACTGTTGATGGTGTAGAAAAAATCTTTGTGCTCAAGTTTGCAAGGAGCAAAGTGCTGGCTAACAAAATCTGTCATTAAAACAGGTGTTAAGTCTAAGGCTCAGACTTATACCTTCGCTCCATATAAGAAGGTATGGAAAGAGTTCAAAAGGACTTTCTCAAAGGAAGAAAATCAGAATGACAAGTCAGAGGAAGGCAAAGATCATGCATTTTTTAAGGAAAAAAAAAAAAAAAGCCTCCTTTACCTAGACTTGAAATATGTGAAATTATATTCTAACTTAGCTATAGAGCAGTACAGAGAGGAAGATGTCAGTTAACTCTACTTAGTGCATACCTAAATTGTATGGAAAATGAAATGTTTTACTACCCACTATCATGTAGTAGGAACTTATCTACAAGCATGCCAGAGTATGCAGGCCATTTCCAAACTGGAAGTCACAAAATGTTAGTGCTAAATCAGATCAGTGTAATCTACTTATGAGTCATGTATCAAGTTGCATAACATCGGGAGCTTTTTCGTGAGTTAAGGAGCTTACATTGTGTTGGATCTCAGTCATGCCCTGCCTGTTCTTAGTGGACGTTTATCTGTGTTCATGGCAGCTTCTGCTTTTTGTATCTCCCCATGATCTTGCAGGAAAATGATATGGTGGGATACAGTACTTATAGAAGAGTCAAGATAAGGCAGTGCTTTGTCACATTGCCTTTTGCTATGGCAAGTTCACAGTTAGCTTATCCTGCATCCCTGCTTAAGAAAGCCTCATCTGTCAATACGCCCTCTGCTTTTCTTTCCAAAGTAATCATTATAACAGGTTTGATGGGATCTCATGCTTAGATTGTGCCAGACAATTTGTTTTGATTTAGAAATAATCCAGATCTTTCTGCAAGCATTTTACTTGCATTCTGAAGCTCTGCACACTTCTGATACTGTGGATCTCAAAGACTGCTTCGCAAACCTCAATCCACTATTTAATATATGTAAAAATCTATTACTGACATGTAAGGGTAAAAGGCAAAGCCACACTTAGTCTCATGGATTGAGTAGGAGTTTTGATTGTATTTTGATATAGTATCTAAACGAGAGGCAAAATTAAGGTTTTTCTACACTGAAAACTCATCTCTGAGGAATTTATGGATTTTCAGTATATTGCAGAATTGTCTTCTAGTAGAGTCTGCATCAAACTTGCATACTGATTTGCATCTAAAAAACCAGGAAGACGATGAAGGTATGTAAATAATGAATTACAGCAAAAAAAAAGGTACAACATTGACAAGTAAGACTTGTTAGATAAGTTCTGGCTAGCCAGTGTAAGCTGCAAGCAATCCTAACATCAAGATATGCATCAATATTTGTGCTTGTGTTCAAGGAGGTAGTCCTGGAAGTGCTGGCAAAAGCATGTAAATCATGCCCCACCTTGGGAATATTCATACAGGGAATGCACAGTGTTGTCTGGAGAAAAATTAATTTTAAAATCAACAGTGAAGGTTATAAACAACTTCTGTTCCATACGCTTCCTTCTCCAATTAGTGAGCTTTGTTTTCATAGAATTACTGAATGGTTAATGTTGGAAGGGACCTCCAGAGATCATCTGGTCCAACCTCCTGCTCAAGCAGGGTCACCTAGATCTGGGGACCCAGAATGCTGAGCTTGCAACCTCAAGCTTCTGTTTGTGAAGGGCGATGACACAGAGCTATGATTTTGAAAATTATTACAAAAAGTGGAATGTTTGGTAAACAAGGTGGCTTCATGTTACAGAGCTGAATGTTCCATGGAATTTTTGGAGATGTATGTGCAAGATGAATTTGTTAGAACTAAACTATCAGTGCTGTTCAGTAATTTTTAATGTAAATATAAACACTCAGCATTCAAGAACTAGAAGATAGATATTTGTGTAGCTTTATCTGGTTTGTAAGGTCTGTTTGCAACAGTACGTGTAACGTGTAATGTTCCAGAAATAATCAGATAAAACCAGACAAGCAGAACACCTCCTTTCAAATGGTTGGCTTCCCCTTTGATAATCCTATCATAAATACTTTAAGAAGTCTGTAATGAATTCACCCAGCATGAAAAGAATATTTTTCTAATAATGCAGGGGCTGTACTCAGGGATGGACACAAGACTCCAGTGAGATCCCAAGTCAAACTCCTGCTGAAGATGCAAAGAACTGAAACTACAGCATCTTCAGAGACCCCATAAGCATTCCTTTTATACAGACCACAGCGATTCCATCCTGCTGCCTCGTGGACTTGACATCAAACAGATGAAGTTCTATGTTTTTTCTCATCCTCAGTTTTGCAGTTAGTAACACAGGGAAGTAATGACTAAATTTAAACCATACGCTGAGTAGGATGCAAGAGATAAAGTTGCTCATGAAAAGAAGGCAGTGGATGTAATCTTTCTGGATTTTAATAAGGCTTTTCATACCATTTCTCACAGCATCGTTCTGGTTAAATGGTCCAACCAAGATATGCAGGTTTCTGCTACATTGGTGGCAAACTGGCTCAACAGCAGAACTTACAGGTTATAGTAAGTGGGACTGTACCTGGCTAGTGACCAGTCAGTAATGGTATGCGTCAGGGCTCAATTCTACGTTTTTATCATCATCTCGGGGGGTTAAATGCATCTGTATCAAGTTGAATGACAATTCTAAACCAGCAAGTGTTGGGAGTATTGGCTGATCCTCAGCATCACAAAGTTCAGCACAGGTAAATGCTGAGTTCTGTGTCTGGGTCAGAGTATTGCTGGGCACTGGGACATCCTGGGAGCCGAGCGGCTGGAGAAGAATCCCTTCAGGAAGAGAGCTGAGTGTGCTGGTGACAGCTGGCTCAGTGTCCCTTGGCAGTAAGAGGGCAAATGGCATTTTGGAACACAGTAAGGTGTCCCAAAGGTGCAGCACGAAGGGTGAGACTGGTTATCCAGAAAAATGTCCTTATCGTGAGAGTGGTCAAACAGTGGAACAGATTTGCTAGCGAGGTAGGCCTACCGGCTGTGATCAGCATAACCAGTTGACAGAGTGTTTGCAGGATCTGACCCATTCTACTCTATTTTGGAAGAGAAGACTTCTAGTGAATTTAAGATGAACTATGACTCAGATAGTTGTACGTAACAATTCAGAAGGGTAGATCTGGAATAGATGCAGAAACTCAATGTTAAAGGAAAAAGAGGCAGAAGAATGAGAGGCATTCACTAGGACGTTCTGCTCTGGCCAGGGATGCTTATCTTTTCACAGCTGAACTCCTTGCTCCTTGTCATTTTTCCAAAAATCTATCTTAATGATGGTGTCCTTATGCTGTGTGATATTCTTTCTGGAAAAAGACAAAAAAAAAAGGAAAGTTTGAAGATTGCCTCATTTTACACAAGGCAGAACACACGGACTAGAATTTTCCACAGCACTTGATTCCCTCTGGGCTAGCTACATTTTCTTTGTTTTTTTTTTTTTTTATTCCTTAAATACGTGCACTGCAGTAGCACTAGTGTGCTCCACAGAAGCGCCTTAGCACTGCTGTGCAGGAGCAGTGGTCTGGAATACTTCCTGCATTGTGTATGCTGAGTCCGTAGAATCTCAATGGAGATGTGAATATTGTGGTGACAGTCATCCTCATGTATTTTTTCAGGTTGTGGTTATTAACCACTTGCATTCTATAAGCCATAGAGAGAGGTCTGTGTCTGAATATGCACCACACAGCTGCTAACAATGTGTAGGCTGGACTGGATTGTTCCTGCTTCCAGAAGTGCTAGACTGTCTCTGTAACTGAAAGTGTTAGCCTTGTGTGTCAAGTTAGATAAGAGGCACTAATAACAATTAGCAAAATAAAAAGTTTCACTGGCAGGCAAATTAATAAATGAAGATGACTGCTGAATCTAACACCATCAAAACAACCAGCCCACAGCAGGGAGACTGGAGTCAGATGATGTTTAAGGTCTGTAGGCTTGTAAAGGGGGCAGCAACCATAGGGAGAGGGACACTCTGCTATTCTTCACTGAAATTCTATGCTCGAAAACCTTTTTTTTTGTGATTAACTCATTTCTGAGAAAGCAATCTCCAGTCCTTACTGTGGTTTGTGTGTGTGTACCTGAATCAGCTGTAAGCTATATCTACTTGAAGTATCAGAGCAAGTGAAGGATTTAGGTTATCTTGTAGATACCCAGGGCTCAGTTAACCTTAAGCCATTAAAATTGGTGCTGCTGTTATTAATACCTGAGCTAACGAGTATAGATATATGTGCAAATCCAGTTTTCTGTTAGGCTTCAGACCGTTGTGTTTTGTATGAATTGCTGAAGATGTTTGTAGGTTTTGAACTTCTTTTTAAACAGTTCTCAGAGATTTTTCCGAACAGGCTAAATTTATGTATTTTTTTGCTTCTGGATCATCTGACATCCTTATCAGAGTGGTTTAATTTTCTATATCTGTAAGAGAAGAATCTGGGAGTCTTGTCTTTGCACCCTACTGTTTCCATGTAATTTGATCTGCTGTTTTCTGAGGTCTGTAGGGAATAATCCACTCACAGAGAGTTCTCGGGATGAGAAGGGTCTGTTTAGTGCCATGCTTGGTATTAGTTTTATTTCAGCGACTTCAGATCTTTTTTTCCAAATTCCTGTGAGGACATGTTGCATATATCCTCTCAACCATTCTCCTCACCTACCTGCTGTGTTTTCACCTTCTCTCTAAATTCAATCTTTGTAATAGCTCTCTTCCAGAGGATACTGACTGACTGATGGGAATACAGCTAAATGTGAGCTTTGTGCTCTTAAGTGCCCAAAACAGAGGCACGTTCTTTTTCCTAAATTTATATTAAAGGACAGAAGGTAACAAAGTTCCTGTCGTGTCCCGATGCCTGAGGTTAATGTCAGAAGTCCAGTATACTTGATGCCTTGCTGAGGTTGACCTTCTGCACAGCTGTGTGTTCATGATCAAGATTGCTTGGGGACATATCCCTTGTGCGTTCCCATCTCTCCTGTCTGTGCACTGTCTGCAGCTGAGCATTATCCTCCTGTGGTCTCACTTCTGCTGTGCTGGGTCCTATGCTGTCAGACTTCTCAGTGCACTTAGCTACAGTAAAATGATGGAAGCTACTGACTGCATTGTTTGTTTGTTTTTACCTTGTACCTGTAGTCTTTGGGAATGATATCTAAACGTGGCAGATTTTGAAACAAAGTTAACTTAGATGGGCTTTCTTCTATATTAGTCAATCTGTTTGACTACTTCAGGGCAAGTCAGCCAAATCCAGGAAGGAAAGAGAAGTGGGTCGTGTTTATCACTGTTGCTCAGTAATGGCTTAAAGCTCAGCCAAAGATACAGCAATGAGCATTTGATTAAAAATTTCAAAGCCTTAGATAGCTTGCAGCTCTGGATGAAATCTGCTTTGCTTACTTTGTAGTGATTGGTCTGATTTTACCCCCGCAGATAAGCAGTTTGTATCCTGAATCAACAGCTTTTCTTTAAGCAAAGAAAACATGGCTTTGCTTATGTTTTCCTTTTATACGTTTTGTTGAATTGCTCTGTCAAGTTGTGAAATGTGACTAGGTTTTGTCTTTGAGTGGGAATGTTACAGACAAGTGACGTTTGCTTCAGTGCACGCATTGAGCATTTTCTTGCACTTCTTCCATAGTCTGAGGCACATGTTGTCTTCCCATGTGTGGGCAGCCCAGAGCATGGCTGGCCCAGGTGGGTGTCTCCAGCAGACCTTCTGTCTCTGTGGATCAGAACGTGGTCCCAGATGTCTCCAGTCCCTTGTGCTCCCACTGCTTCTCGACAGGCGAAGTCAGCATGTACTGCCTATGCTGATGGAACTGCCAGGTAAGACTCCTTACTGCAACACAGCCAGCTTTGTAACTGCAATGTAGACATAATCTCATTAACCATTGCATGTCTGACATCAAGCATTACAGAAATAAGAAGACTTATAAATGTAATCACTCTCTAAAATCACTTAAGATGAGGGCGAGGGTCTATCTGAATGTTGAGCTTTCAGCTGTGATGACACTTGGACAAGTTGTAATTTCTTTCTCATTGTTTCAGTAAATATAAATATGATGCTGAATGCAAAACTGAAGACTGAATTTTGACTTTAGTATGTTCAAATATTTGGTCTCAATCCAGGTTTATGGCAAATCCTATTTACTGTCTTCAGGGACTGCAAAATAGAAAAACGATTTTGATTTATCTCATAACAAACTTTTTTTCCCAATGGTAATTAAGGCTAAAGATTCTCATTGATGTAATCCCCATCAGGATGGTAGGACTGCTTGTATAATTCAGTTCTCTGAAAGAGGTTGTCAGATTAGGAAAAAAAAATACTCTTAGATGAGAACTATCACATGAGCAGTATTATTACTTTGAATTACCAAGTGAACATAATGGACAACAATTTGCACAGATCATCTGGTTGATATACAGTTTCTGGAGAAAAACAGTTGAGGCATTTTCTAGATCTTTATGACCGCACACATCACTTTCAAAGCAGATTTACTTTATTGCTTCTTAACAGCTATTTCTTCTATTGAAGTTTTAACAGATTCATCGTGTGAATGCAGATGGGTGAAAAACAGTCAAAAATCTGTGAAGAAAAACTTTCAGAGTGACATTCAGTCAGAACTGGTAGAACTATCATTGCCTTTTACTTCATTATTCTTACGCAGTACTGAAGGAACTGAGTTCAACCGTGCTTCGCAAAGCAGTCAGGACTTAAAGTCTTACCTGCTCATAGGAGGCTCCAAAACTGGAAAAGGTCATTAACAGGCGGTAAGTAAATGCAGCCTGCTTACAAGTTATCTCCTTTTCCTGTGCTCAATATGCACTTCTCTATTAGAATTAATTGCTTATTCTTCATTAATAGAACACATTTTATTTAGCTTGCACCTTTTTAAATAGTGTCAGTTAATGAAAATCCTGCAGTTATCCTGGTGCTTGTCCCAGAGCAGCACGCTGGAAAAGACTGCTTTTGTGATAATGACTTTTGCAGTGACTCTTGCTTGTTCAGACTTTATTTATAAGGCATCTTCCTACAGAAGGTTCTGCATCAGATTATAGGAATGTACTTCAACACGTCTATAATCTTACGGTCCTGCATTCTGTTTGCTCCTTTGGAGTTAGCACTGAGCCATTTCAGTGAAGCCAGGCAGCAGGAGGAGAGTACTTATCTAAATTTCCAAAGGTTTCACTGAACAGAGAACTCACACACAAGTTTCAACAGTCTAAAAGAAGAAAGGCTATTGGTATTGGCTACTATTGGTAATAGATAAATGAGATTGATCAAAGCAGTTCTGATTAAATACAACTATGAAGTCTGCCATTGAGTTTTGCAGGTGCTCTCCTTTACTTGTGTAACCTGATAATTAAAGTTTTTAGGTTTATAATGTGTAGTAATTCCTATTCATAAATTATAATTTCTGCTGAATTTCTGATTTAAAGTAAATGCTTGTGCATTGCCTTTAACTTCTGTTTGCATGTAAACCATAGACTGGAAAAGCCTGTATAGAAAGCAGAAAAAAAATGTGGCCTTACTGTGTTTTTAAAAATACTATAGTGTATGTATGTGCTGAGTTCTTATATTCTCATTAGAGATATGCAATTGGAATGGCATTATGAAATACAGCATACTGAAAAATTAATATAAAGACAAATAATGCCAAAAATCAAGCACAGACCTCTCTTGCTGCTGTTCTTTCATTGTTGCTTTTGTCGTGTTATTTTAACAACACCCAACAACTCTGAAGTGGTAGGACTGATTTATGTTGGAGGTGTTTAAAATTTTACTCTACTTTGAAAAGATCCCTTCAGCTTCTTATGGACCTTTTCCTTCCTTAGTGCCTCCCTCCCTCCAGCCCAAGGTGCATTCACTCTCCAAGCCACGGGAGAACCTGGCTTTTCCTTGCCAGCTCCTATTGGCTTATATGGCAGCTCTTCTACAGCAGTTGCAGTGAGCTGTGCCAGCCACCAGCTCCTGTAGGTGTGCAGCATTCCTACCCCTGGGGCAGCTCTCATGCCACACATGGAACTGCCTGGCAGGAAAGCTTGGCCATCCCAGTTTTCAAAGCAGTTTAAGAAAATCTGCTGTCCCAGCTGGGTATTAATGTTTATTAACAAAATTAGAAAAAAAAACAACCAGTGTACACAGTGTACAATTCAAGCTTTTCTCTCTACCTAACTTACCTCCTGGCTACACTCTTAGTTACAAACAGAAATGAAATGTATGTCTTTGCTGTGTCTGATAGTAGAATTTCTCTTAATTTCTAAATACCACAGAACTCTAATTTGAAGCTTCGTTGCTGGAGCCATGAGTTAGCCTGAGACATGAACGGGTTAGAATGCAGTTTCCCTTGCCAAGTTTACGGCTGCTATGGTAGTCCAGCGTTAATCTTTTCAGGGCAGTCCTCCTTCAGTCAGATAGGAGCTTCCCCCTCTGCTATACTCCCAGCAGTGCAAGATGTGGGGAAGATCACTCCATCCTCACTGCTGACAGCAAGAAAGTTTTGTTCTCACTGTGCTGGAGGTCAGGAAATGATCAGGCAAACATTTTGGTTTTTCCCACTGAATAGGAATGGTCTGATTTCAGCACTGCTAGTAACTGCTACAGAGGGAGGGAACCAGTATCAGTCATAGCTGGCTCTTATTACGAAGACACAGCATTGGCTGCAGCTGGAGAGAGGCAGGAGATTGCCAGCAGAGAAGGGCAGAAGGCACTTCAAGAGATTCCCTTGTGTATCCCTCTTCCCATATTGTTTCGTGGACCCTTACCAGAAAGCAGAAGCATGAAGAGTTTGCTTATATTTGTTTTCTGCTTTTAATTTTGAATGTTCTTTACAGATTAAAAACTTCATTATTATCCAATATTGTTTTCATTAGCGAGGAGGAAAAGATGGATGTATTTAGAGCACTTGGAAATGAGACGCTGTTGTCCAATTCCTCTGGTCCTGCTCGATGGGATCCCTTCCACCGTCCTTTGGACTCCATCCAGCCCTGGCACTTCAGGCTTGTGGCAGCAGTGATGTTCGTGGTGACCTCCCTGTCTCTTGCTGAGAACCTGGCTGTGATCCTGGTAACTTTTAAGTTCAAGCAGCTGAGACGACCTGTCAATTACGTTATAGTGAATTTATCTGTGGCTGATTTCCTGGTCTCACTGACTGGTGGCACCATTAGCTTTTTAGCCAATCTGAAAGGCTATTTCTATATGGGGCACTGGGCTTGTGTACTGGAAGGATTTGCTGTCACTTTTTTTGGTAAGCTTAATATTGTTTGTAGTTGTATCTTGTTTTCCTTCAGCTTCCTTCGATGCATTTCACTATCCTGCAGCTTCCTAAATCACTGACCTTGCATGCCTGTGAATGCACTGGATCTTTTCCAGTTATGTGTGTTCTGTGGAGGATCTCATATGAGTGAATAATGCGTATCACTGTTGCTGTCATATGTCACCTTTTACTGCTTCTGTACTGTTCTCTGAATATAGTTCATATAATGAGAAAAAAAAAATGCTAAAAGAATGGCAGTAGTTGCAGGGAAAACAATGTGATTTTAAAAAAACAGACACTTAATTGTTTAATTATTTTCCAGGTTTGTCTCTTGGTATGTGAGTATTTGGTTAAACGAGAGAGAGAACAAATGGCTGTTCTTAAACTATGGACAATATTATGTCACTAAAACATCTTATGTTAGCTGTCCTGCAACTGTTCTGAGGAGCCATGCTGTGACTGTGGCTGCCACCCCCCTTATTTGCTTTTCCTGTGATTCTTTCTCTTGGCTTTGTTTTCCAAGTATGCAAAACATATTGAAGTACTCTAAAAGGGAAAATAAATCATCACCAGGTAGTTCACTTTGTAAATATACCTCTACAGGGTAAACAGAAAATTAGTTTAAAGTGGAACATCTAATTACATCGACATGCAAGTTCATTCTTACCTCCCACAGGGCTTTTTGTGTTGCTGCCAGCTGACATTTCGGTGCTGTTTCAGAAGCTGTGTAGTAAAGCCATTCTTCTAACTCTGTCACTTCTCTGAGTCAAATGCATTGCTGATCCTCAGCTGAAAAGGAATTCCACTTTTGCTCTCAGGCTGATGAAGCTGCCCAGAAAAGTTTACTGTGGGAGACGATGGTACTATGATGGTTTGTGGCATGGAAGGCATGTCTTGTGGAGTAAGATCAGACTATTTCAAGATTTTGGTGATCACCCAGGTGATCCGTCCCAAATAAACTGATATTTTGATGTTGTGGGCAGCAGTCTGTTAGGTTAGAGCTTATGACAGTCTGAAACATGACATTTTTTGCAAAGATAATGTTTTGAAGATATACCTTCATTTGTTAGTTTGGAAGCTACACATAATGTGCAGTTCTTCAAAGTAAAGCCTAGTGGAAGAAGTAATTGTGAGCTAAGAAGTGCAGTTAGAAGCTTAGCTTTGTAGTCATTGTACTAACAAAATGGACAAGTATGAAAATCTTGTGCTCTTAATGAAATATTAAAGCAACACGCATGATTTGCCCATCTTTTGAAAACCTGTCTTGCTGAAAAATGTTCCTGATGTGGTAAGTAGTCAAACGTGGCCATGAGTTGCCCAGAGAAGTCGAACTGGAAAGTTGAAATGAAAAATGAAAAAGAACCTGACTGGATGTAGTCCTGGGCAGCCTGCTGCGTAGATCCTGCTCGAGCCGTGTCAGACTGGACTGGATGACCTCCAGAGATGCCTTCTGACCTAAATGATTCTGTGACTGCAGTGTGGGACGAGGTTTGCTTTTCAGTAAGCCTATTTGATTTTGATGCTGAGTTTTTTACTGCAGGCATTGTGGCTCTCTGGTCTCTTGCTCTTCTGGCTTTTGAGCGGTATGTCGTGATCTGCCGCCCACTGGGAAATATGCGCTTGAGAGGGAAGCATGCTGCCCAGGGAATTGCCTTTGTGTGGACCTTTTCCTTCGTTTGGACCATTCCACCAACCATGGGTTGGAGCAGCTACACCACCAGTAAGATTGGAACTACCTGTGAGCCTAATTGGTAAGGCCATCCTTGCAGAATGTGGCAGAGTTTAAACTTGTAGCTCATGACTTGTTAAGGGCACAGTTCCAAAGGAGAAGGTTAAGGATGATGGTCTTCTCTGCCAAAAAAGAGGTAGGCAAAGATAACAAGAAAAGTTTCCGGGGTTAAAAATATTTTCTCAAACATTTTCCTGAAAAGAGGAGCTTTCATCTCTAATGGAAGTAACTGTTCCATATATGGGATTTGTTTGTTTTTGTCAGGATTCAAAGAGAAAAAATAGATTTTTCAGAAGACTGGATGAAGCCCTGAGCAGTTTGTTTTAGCAGCATAGCTGACTGCTCTTTGAGCAGGGGGTTGGACTACACGTTTCTTCCCACCTAACTCACCCCATAGTTCTTTTGGTTCTGTGCCCATGATCTTACACAGTAAATCTTCCCTAGCCCAGAGGAAGGGAGATAGCCATGGGCTGTCTCTGTGATTTGACTAAAGCTGCATGTGGATATTTTGATCGAAAACAATTGATGAAATTACTAGTGACATCTCTGACCACTTTGAGAAAATAACCATGATATATACATGATGTGTTCTGTGTTTTATACAGGTATTCAGGAGCTTATAATGATCGTTCCTACATTATTGCATTCTTCACCACCTGTTTTATAGTGCCTTTATTGGTAATTTTGGTATCCTATGGGAAACTGCTGCAGAAGCTAACAAAGGTAAGAAGAAGAACTTTCAAGTTACGTTTTTGAAATGTGTATGTATGCAAGCACTTGGAATTTTCACATGTACATTACCATAAGGATCAGACATAAGCAGACCTGTTTCCAGGCAGCAAATGTACTCACTTATGTCTTGATAAAGAATTATTTTTGCACTCATTTTTATTTTTTAGTTTAAAAAATGAAAAGTAGATCCTGGAGGCTGTGCAAAGAGCAGCTTAAAATGAGGGCTGAGTGTTCCCAGTGTCCTGTGAGAGATATTGTGTGTTTTTGTAGATACCTTCACCCAAAAAAAGGGGGGAAAAAAACGAACGGAAGTTACGCATTTGTTTTTGTTAAGGATTTCTCTTTTTTTCAATTTAAAACTGAGAAAATCAAATAGTGCAATGTTGATAACAGCTGTTCAGAGTTCAGTTAAAAACAAACAGGCTGGGGGAAGAAAAAAAAAAAAAAAAAAAAAAAGACCAAACAGTAGTAAGGATCATCTGGTCCTTGATGTGATGCTGCAAGCACTTCTTTTTCTTGTGCTCTAAGTTACATCTTAGTCACTTAGTGCACTTTGCATCCAGGTCCATCGAGGGCAGGGCTGCAGACCCCTGAGGCTGCCTGGTGGAGCTGTGTGTTGCACCTGCCAGGGCTGCAGGCAGGTATTGGACTGCTCACCATACTCACCTGCCCAGGTGTTACACCAGCAGTGGGCTACATGTGACCCTGCTGAGCAAGACTTGTGACTGAAAATACCGCTGCAAATTACAGAAATGTATGTAGCACTACTAAAACACAGAAAAAGAAGCAGGAGAACAAATAAACTAGTTCAAATAGAAGCATGAAGACTGATGGAGGACTAAAATAAGCAGGAAAAAATCAAACTTCCCTCTTCCTCCTTTCCATCTTGCCTGGAGGATCAATGCAGTGCAGAACCAGTAGTAATTATTCTTTCAACAGTCTTTATACATCGTTTTTAAATGCACCTGTGTTCAGGACTCTCATTTAGTATTATTGACAGATAAGCAGCTGTTTTGTTTCTTTCCAGAGATGACAACACTTCTGCTGAAAAGGAGGCTGGGTTGCCCTCTACTTAGGTAGCGTGTTTATGAAGAAGTGCTATAGAAGTGCTATATGTTTTTTGGATTGGGAATATCTTATATTTGCTCAGCACCTAACAGCCTTCACTGATCCCTGACAACTTGTACATATGATCTCATCGTTATCGATTTCCACTGTATTCACTCTTTGAATGCCTTGTTTGTTTTCTGGAATTCTCTGTCTTTAAGGTGTCAGATACACAAGGCAGGTTGAGAACTGCCAGGAAACCTGAAAGACAAGTGACTAGAATGGTGGTTGTTATGATCATTGCTTTTCTGATCTGCTGGATGCCATATGCCACCTTTTCTATCCTAGCCACTTCATACCCTTCCATTGAACTGGATCCTCATCTGGCAGCAATTCCATCTTTCTTTTCCAAAACGGCTACTGTTTATAATCCAGTTATTTATGTCTTTATGAACAAACAGGTACTGTATGCTCTCAGAGTGTCTTTAAAGTTTATGTTTTTAGTATTTAGTATTGTTTTGTAATGAATAGTTTCTCTCCACCTTATCAGTTAACCAGTATTCCATATCCATAATTTAGATTTTTTTTTCATCACTACATGTCTACTTAATGCATAGAGTTTTGTGCTGTGTTTCAGTATTAAAATATGAATACTAGTAATCATTAATTTAGGTATTGGAAAACAAAATCAACTCTTAGTGAACATCAACTATTCTAGTTTTTTGTGAGAAGACTCTATTTCCAAGACTATCCCATTATGTTTCCATAGTTGTTTTGGAATGCAGTGCCAGCAAATTGCTTCTGAGGTTCATCAGGGGAAATGCTGCATCTATGGTTGTGTGTTCAGAGCAACTTGCATCATTGCTTGTTCCTGGGTGACGGGGTCTTCTCTGGAATGGGGTCAGAGAAATGGGTGCAGAGAAGTACTGACAAGGGATGAGCCAGAGGTAGCAAGTATGTTAGAACCTTGAACAGATATGTGCTGTGAATGTAGGAGGGCGTGGCATCAAGCAGAATACTGGGGTATAAAGGAAAAGAACTAGAATATCAAAGTGAAGGTTGAATGTGAAGTGATGAATGCATTTATTGATTTAGTCCTGCAGTGACAACTATTGGTTGTCCCACATCCTGTGGGCAGTACCCTGATCTCCCAGTGCATGGCAGATGTACGCTCGTCTTAACCTGCTCAAGGATATGAATGTGATGGAAACAAACCATCATTGAATATCTAGGTATTGGCATATGAATGCAACTTGTGAGCCTTCAGAAATGACCAATTCAATTCAATTAGATGTGGCTAGCAACAAGCATAAGAGGAAAATGATTTTTTAGACTGAAGCATTCTAGCAGTTTGTGTCTTTTCAAATTCTCAGTTCTCTGTGGTGCCACAGGTAAATGTATTTTGTGGAGCTATTTCTGTATATGACCAATGGACACAGACAATTTCCAAGACTTTTAGTGAAGACAGAAAAAAATAGGAAAATGATTTTAAATTCCTCATGTGTTTTGATTTTTCTTGTTTGTTGTTTCAACTTTCAGTTCAGGAAGTGCCTGATACAGATGTTCAGGTGTAGTGCCATAGAGTCTGCAGAGTCCAACATGAGCCCAACTTCAGAGAGAGCAACGCTCACCCCAGACAAAAGGGGCAGTCAATTGTCTACCATGGCAGTACGAAGCACCATTTCTTAGAGGAAAAATGGAGATGAACACAGAAATTGCATTTATTTTGCTCAGCTGACAGCTTCAGGAAACAAGATTTGTCTCTTGCAAAAGGTAGATATGATCATTAATGCAATACAGCAGTGTGTTTCCTCATTACCCCATCACTTCATACTAAAGATGTCATTGGGGCCATTGTGCTCTGTCTCATAGACACTAACTTTGAGATTCTGAGCTCCCAAGTGCATATAAGAGCTGCTTGGCTGTGCAGTTGCAGTTGAAGACCAACCAGAAAGTGAGTCCCTTTCTGTGTTTGTCTCAGCAATAATACTTGACCCCTGGTGTAAAACAATGGAAGCCCAGCATTATTGTGCTGACACATAATACAGCAAAGAAAAGAGTTTCATTGATGACTGTGCCTTAGTCAGCTGGGCAAAAATATGAAGTGATGCATGGCTTCAGTACGTTAATGGAAAATGAGTAATACTTAGCACATAGCTGACTCAAGCTCAACCACACAGAGATTCATGGAGACACAGGCTTGAGTGCCTTTTGATTTGTTCGGAAATTTTTACTAAAAAAGCAGAGGAAGCATGAGGTCTCTGCACTTATGTCTATCCCAGATGAGAACCTCATTCGGGCCACTAAATTTTCCAACACCGTGGATGAGCTATGCATACTTCCAAGGACTTTGTTATTAAGAGCCATTCATATTCTTTATGTCCTCTGTGCCAAGAAATCTGTACTAGTGGCAACTTTGAAATAAATCAACTAATGCCATCCTTTAGTGTGTGGGGGGGGTGACAATCTTGTACCTATTTGTCAATTCTCTTTATTAGAGAAATTTAGTTGCAAGGTATAGCAGAGTGTAATACTTACAGAGTATTCTTAAAATAACTAATTTGTTTAATTTTATTTACACGATGCTCTTTGTCTTAATGCCAGATTAGAAAAAACAGATAAAATTCGGATTATTTTCTTAGTAGAAAGGTTGTTCATGTTCCCTGATTTCATTTTAGAGGGGTTAGATCTAAGAATGGGAATTACTCTACAAATTACTTGAGCTGCATGTGTGAGAATTCATTGCAAGCCACCTGTGGTTCTGATACTCATCAAATTTCATTAGATAGTTGGCTTTTACAATATGATTTTAACCTCCGTAAACTTGAATTTTCACGGTGCTCAATATTAAACCCAAACTATAAACCTCATTATGAAAGCTACATCTTTGCACAATTCCTGTTCTTTACCACTAACTCCATGTTATCTACATCAGAAAAGTCAATACATGTATAAGGCTCTTAATTTTTTTTTAAAATATTCTAAGACAGGAGAGTTAAGACACTGAGTTATTATTTGTGTGCACACCTTTGTGTTCATTAGTTTGTTTTTAAAAAAAGAATCTTTGCATTTAAGACACACATTTTCTCTTTCAAGCATACTTTGACCTAGGTTAATCACACATCAATGGTATGAGACATATTAAATCATGAGGAACTGGCAGTAGTGTTAATATTTAATTAAAAGCAACAGAAGTATTTTATGTCCTGAGAATTTGAGGAAATGTATTTTTCTGTACATATGAAAGTAAAGCATCAAAACTTAAGTAACGAAAAAGAAAGGCACAACATGAAGATGCATGGAAAACCTAGGAAAATAATAAGTTAAAATTGTTTTTGCAATGTGATTATCATCTGTGATTCAGAATCTGGTGACACAACACAGCCAGCCCTGGCAGCACAGGTGGAAGCAATTCACCTGTGAGACCAGAAGGGGTGGATCCTGGCTCCACCTCTCCCTACTCTTATTTAAGGGCTGGCAGCCAGAAAGGAAGGGTCTCTATGGAGAGATTACCTCCTTTGGAGTGTTGGGTGAGCCCTGATCCTTGGAAAGGGGTAAATGTTTCCTCTGTCAGTTGGTTGTGACTGCTACCTTTCTTGGGTGATCCAAAATCAGTTGAAGGCAATTATATCTGTTGCTACTTATCATTTCATTATTATTTATCTTTATCATTCTAATACAAGTTACTCATCATGAAGTTGTATGGGTGAGTCTTTTAGAGTATTGCACCAAGGAGAATATGGGTTGTTTCTATAAGTTGTGATCAGCAGTTTGTAATCAAGGCAATATCTCCACTAACACACTCAGTACATAAATAGATAGTGTGAAGTTGGCTGTGGGTCACATTTCCATTGTGCACGGTGAAGTGGATAGTCTGACATGAGGCTTTGGATTACTGCACTCAAAACATCAAAAGGGAAGATATTCATAGAGCAACTTTAGGGCAATATTCACATTTCAGCCAGAGAGCAGGCAAACAACTTTGGCTAGTTGGTGAGGAAAAGAGAACTGCAGTACAAAGGGAAAAGAAAGGAACTGTGAAATTACATGAGACTGAACTAAAAAGTCATGACACTGAGCCCTTCCTCCTTTTGGCTCATCGTAAGTGCTAGAAAGAGAAGGCAAGGTTCTCTCCAGCTCATATAGAGGAGCCCTTAATATATATATATTATAACCACCTGGATCCCTCCAGTCAGAAACCCTGAACTACTATCATACAATTTTTACTTACAGTTTTAGCTTCTGTGAGAATATCTGTTCAAAGAAGGAATGAATATGGCTTCCCAGAGTACAGGAGACGGTCTTGCTGCGGATGATAACAGGTTGATGGGAGAAAAGAGGAGTAGCAGCCATGGAAAAATCTCAGGAGAGATGATCAGAAAAACAGTTTTGGATATAGAATGTTGAAAATAATTGTGAAACATGCAGAACAGAGGCTGGCTGAAACAAAGGGTTAGGAAATATGGAGATATATTAGAAATAAAAGCCAAGATTTGTATAGTCTTAATGTATGAACCCACAGGAGTGGAGGCTTATGTTATGCAGGATAAAGAGGACAGTGAAACAAGAGACATGCTTGTGTCCTGAGCAGACAGGTCAAGTACTGAATACTGAGGAAAAACAGCAGGGTATGATGGTAGGATGGAAAACATTAACAGTACCATGAAAGATAAGTGGAAAATACAATCTGGAACACTGAGTTTATAGATGTTACAGCACTTGCTGAGAAGCAGTTTGTCAGGATTAAAAAAGGGGTGAAAGTCTGACTGGGGAAAGTGGAATTTGAGGCGTAGAAGTAGGGCATGGTACATGAAGTGCCACTAATTTCCAGGAAGTGAAAGACATGAGATGGTGGCTGGAAGCGGTGGTATTCCCCAGCAGCTTTCTGAAGAGATCTAGTTTATCACTGTTAGGGGAAGTAAGTAGCAAAGCAGAAGAAATTGAAGCAAAGAAAACGTAGAAGAGAAATAGAAGCAAGCACTCATTCAGTTCATCATGAATTAAACGTTAAACATAGCTAAGCAAGATCTAAGTTATATGCAAGGGCTCATCATCTACAGCTGCATTCCTTGTGTGAAGCTCTATCTCATGTTCTGCATGTAACTCGTGGCCTAACTACCACTGCTAACATTTGATTGCACTCCTTTCACACCAGTTCCTCTAGAACTTTAATGGTTTACATTTACAGTTGTCTTATATCATCTTATCTCCATATTAGACAAGTGCTTTGACGTGCAGCAAGCATAGATGTAAAAATGTAGGCTGCAACAGAATGACATGAAAATTAGCTCTTCTAGGAAAACAGGAAATTAATATTAGAATCTAATTAATTCTTCTTTCATGTGGAGAATCAATTAGACTTAATAGGACCATGGAGGCATCACAGGTGTTTTCTTTCCATCAAATGAAGCCTACACCACTGAACAACCACTAATTAATCATTCTGATAAAGCACAGTATCAGCAGTTCTCACTGTCTGTAACTCCTTTTTTTTTTTTTTTTTTTTTTTTTTTCCTTTCCCCACTTCCCTGCAAGTATTTTCTATCAAGGGCAAGATTTTGTTTGGTTTATTATCGTGAAAATTACCGTAATTGTGGGAAAAAAGCATTTTCCTGAAGGAATTAGTTATTAACATCTGCACATATGAACAAATGTTTTTTGAAGATGCCTACCAGCATCTAGTTCCAGCACTAATATTCTGTATCTTAAACGTGATATTTTATCTACTGAAGGTTCCTATCTTCGATACAAGAAGGAACAACAGAAACTGTGGGAGTTTTTGTGTTAAAATATTCAGTATCATTTCAGGAGGACACTTATTTTTTTCCCGTTCTGTTAGAGTGCTTTTTAAAATGTGTCAACATCTTGACGTATAGCTTATACCCCAATGAAACAATATTAGCTTTGATAGAAAGCATTATAAAGTTTGTAGAAGTTTTTCAATGTAACAATAACAAAAAAAAAGAAACAGATTTACAATAAGAATGGGAGCATGAGATGGCGTTCTTTCAGTGTTGATTTTTGGGTTTTATTTTTAGTATAATAGTCATTAAGAGACACCGTATGTGTTAGGTACAGGGCATGAAGGTTTTACCATAAGCACTGTTTAAGTTACGCTGTGAATGCTGTTAATGATCTTAATGATTTCATGACTGGCATGTATGATTGCAGCTGAAAACAATATGCTCACATACTGTTTTGATAAACTGCTTCTTATGTCCTTGAATTTTCATTTTACCACCAAGAGAATGCCTAGAAATTACATCAGTTTCCTAGATGATGCTGTAAGAGATGTTTCTGTTTCTCAAAATTAGCCAGTACAACACTATACCATTCTTCTGCTTTGTGATCACTTATTAAATTTTAATTATGCAACCTAGACAAAGTAACTGTCCTTCCTGTAAGTCTTTAATGGTATTGAGGGATAACTACTTTTTGGTTTTAGTTAAAAGTATCAGCAATAATCCATTGATTTGTTTATAATGGAAATAGCACTTTTATTTTTTGGAACATAAATTACGGCTGTAATAAGAGCTACTATTTTGCACTGAAGTGGCTCCTTTGGGTTGTCTGTAACAAACGCACCAATGCTGGAGGTTGGCGAGCTGCTAGTTAGTGAATAAAGAATGGAAATTAGGAAAACAAACAAACAAACACCTATGCCCTTCCTGATTCTGGGAACCTACCTGTGGCAAAAAGGAATCTTATCTGTGTAGATCATGGCGTACTGTCCAGGTTTCGTCCATGGTGAGATCTGCCCTTCCAAGAGTACAGTAATCAACCCTTCATTGGTATGAGGTTGAACTTTCTGGTTTGCACATCAGGATCCACTGAGACCGTTAAACTCAATGTTTCCAATTTAATATTGGAGTGAGTTCTTACAAACATGACACCCAGTAGGTATCGTTAAAGGCCACGTGTATTAACGTCACTGTATGTGCTCAAGCTGGATAGTGGGCTGCTAGAGTGGGCTGCATGTATGGATGGCTACTGCCAAGGTCTGTACTTAAACTGCCCACATTCTGCTTCAATTCCGCTTGCTACAGTGTCTTCTGCAGTGGCTGCCCACAACTTTGCATTTATAGTTATGCCAGCACTTCAGTGTGAAAGAATGCTGTTCTTCTGCCCAAGTAATAAAAGTAAGCTGGCTGATTTTAATACAGAAAAAAAACCCACTTCTAAAACGAGAATTTCAAATGGGCACTTTACACTTCAGGATCAGTAACACTGTCAGCAGCATTTTCATGGACAAAACAGTGCAGTTCAGAAGAGGACTATCCATGCTGTTTTCCATAGCTCGAGTCTAAACATGGTTTGAAAAGTGTGTTTTAAAGCATCATCGCACCCCACTGCCAACTAGCAGGTTCAGTGAGCACCTACCAACTGAATGTGTTGGTGCTCTTCAAAGAAGTTGTCATAGCCTTGCTCTGACAAGACATAACATGAACTCTAGTCTGTAAATATACTACTGATGTTCAAAGATACAAATATCTTAACGTACAAATTTTATTTCCTCTAAAATCACATGCAACTGTGCAGAGCAGTGCTAGAGGAGGTACTGCTCAAAGTGAAAGGGCATGGAGCAGCTCAGGGATTCCTATAAATGACCAGCACTACAAAAGTTATCATAAGTAGGATCATTCAAGCATAGCTCTGTTGGTAGAGGAAATAGAAATTAACCACCTGTCTAGTTGCATCATATGATAATTAGGTTGATGCTTTTGCAAATATACTTGCCCTTTTTTCAAAAAAATGCATTTAATTACATCAGTTTCCACTTTCAAGTAACCAGACTTTGTCCATGCTCACAGTCTCTCTATTGTCAAAGGAGAAAAAGCATGAAGCAAGCAAATCAAGTTGGATGAATCCATTTCTCCCTGCTCCCAGGTCTAGTTGCACCATTAACTCCTGCTTTTAATTTTTTCCTTTCTTCTTTTCCATTTACTGTTTCTCCAGGCTCAGACCAAAACCTCCCCAAAATAAAAAACTTCTGATGTTCTCCTTCAGCTTGTTCTTACCTGAAAATCCATTACTCCTCACAAGGGAGATCTTTCCTCACCGCAAATACACTGTTAAAGGAAGGAAGGCTTTGACAGGATCCTTCAATGAGATGGGGAGACTTGTCCAAGTAGTTTCAACGCTCCCCTGTGCTTTGAGTCTCCATGATATTTCCTGTCATTATTCCAGCCTGACTGTTCCTACACAGTTCCTACACAGTTCCTACACAGATATTTGCAGTGCAGGCAAGTTTGTTCTCAGTCTAGCTAGAAGAATAAAATACACACTCATCAGCTAAAACCTTTTCTTCTTAATTTTGACCTCAGAAAAATGATTATCTGAGAAAACAGAACCACGAACATCAACATGAATTCTCATCTCAATTACTGAGAATTATAATCTGTAACTGATTAGTGAACATTCTTAGAAAATTTATAGTAATGTCCTTTATTGTAATGTTCTGTATTATAAATTGTACTATTTTTTTCTCTTTACTGCTTTTATATTAAAGCCTCTTCCTTCTTCTGTGTCACAAAGAGTTAAAATCTGTAAGAGAATTTAAGAGCGTTGTAGTCATTTGGCACATCAGTTTTAGCTCAGCTATTATCCAGCTGCATCAAGATATTAATGTAGTCATCTCTCTTTAGTCTCAATGAATTGCTATAAAAATGTCAAACAATTAGATTATATTGACCAGTGTAACCCTGTTTGATGGAGTACAGATGTAGGGCATGTCCCTTGAATCACACTGACAAAGAAATAGAAAAGCTTATAGAACTCCAGTGGAAGTTTATTTGAATATACTTACTATTTCAATTTCTAATGTCAGTGCTTATAATACCAAAAACCCAAAAATACTAAATGAGTATTTTCAAATGAAGTAAAAATAAATGTCATTTAGGACAAACGTAAGTGGCCTCTATTAGAGAAGAAAAAAAATAACTTTCAGAATCAGCACAGAGACCAGTACACTGGTGCAACCATAGACACTGTCCCATTGCATGGATGTGACTATAGCAAAGGAGCAAATGTAAGACTTCCCTTGTGGAAATAGTGTTATAAATTCTGTCTCTGGAACAAGAAATGCAACATATACATTTCTGTGGTGAAGACAACTGCTTCGTAAATACTTGATACAGATATCTGGCTACAAATGTCGCAGTAGCTGTTGTACATCGTATCTCTTTGGAAGGCAGCGAAATGCGGGAGTTGCCTTTTCCTGCATGAACTCTGTGGGTACCAGGTATGCGTGCCACATCGTTCAATGCACAGGAATGTAGAAATACAGGTGAAATTCCTCTTAACAATCCAGTGTCCACACAAACAACGTGAAACGAAGACATAAAGCTAAGCTGCTGTAACTGAAAAGCTGAAAACTGTTTCTGTCCTCTATATGAGAAGGATTTAGAATGTGCTGAAGCTGTTCACGTTTTGCTAGAACAGGCACTCTACAGGCATCTCCATGATTTACCTCCTCAGCTGAAGAGGTTCTCCAATCTATCCCTATAAATCCCTATCCTTGTACATCTGAGCTAGAGCCTAGTCTTGAGCAGCAATGCAGGAGAAAGCATGCATTTGTGCACAGAAGTGACATTAGACTATGCAATTAAAGTCTAATCATCGTAAGCAAAGGACTAATGACGATCAGATGAACAATGACACGAAAGGAACTCTAGTCACATCAGCAGTGCAAGGAGTCGAGCACCTAGCTGCACCTCAGGCTATAAAAGGAAGACAATGGGGGATGAGATTTTGGAAGCACTGTTGTGCTTAGATAGCTGTCTGCTTGGAAAAAATGGCAGTGTTTTCCAATTCAGCAACCGCATTCTAGAACAGTTTTTCCACTATTAAATACTGTCATGCTTATTCATATATGTAATTTAGCTGCTACTTGACTATCAATATCAACCAAATGGTTAAGACAGACATTTACACCCCTCAGCTGTAGCATACTTCATACTCATTCATCTCGCTCCTTAAGCTAATTCAAAAGTTTTAAGTGCAGATAAACTCTAAGAACTGAGTAGAACTGCACATATTTTTGGAAAGCAGTTATTTCCGTGAAACAGAGACTCTGAGTTAATTCTCTGTTATGTACTGCCAGGTGGTTAACAAGGACCAATTACACCACTACAGCAATCAGTTCCGGCTGCTTCAAGAACACTTGGAACTTCAGCAGACAACCTCAGTACTAGAATGAAGCTCAGTTTGTCTGTTCTGAACAGACTGTTTCCATAGCAAACTTTTTCCTCCCGCATTCTTTTTCTGTTCCAGTACATTGCTGATTACATCTTATCCTGTAATTCCCTGCTGTCCCGTTAAGCGTGCCTTGTAATTACAAGCTTGTTCTCCGTGCTACCCATAGAAGTTTTCAAAGTTAACACTTCTGGCTTAAAGTACCGAAGTGTTTTCCCTTACTGACTAATGATTGTGCTAATGCCTTCCTCGCACTAATTGATTATATGATCTCTGTCAGAAAACAAATTGTGAACTGTGATCTGCCTCTTAAAATTTTGGCACTGAACAGAAAATGGAGACAGAGAATAACAGCGTGGACACTGTCAATGTGAGCTGATTAATAAGTATCATCTGGTACCCACCCAGGTTATAAAACACTCCATATATATTACACATTCATAAGGGAGGCAGTACATTGTCTATGAAAATTACTAGCTCCACTTCTGAAAAAAAAAAACAAAAAAAAAAAAAGCTGTTTTTTGTTTTTCTGCGCCTCTCCCTGTAGTGTAGCTACCATTTACTTTCTTCATAGTTCACACCTTTGTGTAAAATTAAAGAAACAAAAATATACAACAGCGTATCTGATTCACAGTGCTCCTATGTAGCCTGGAAAAATGTCAACTCTTAAATTGTTGCAAAGAACGGTAAGCTCAAAACATAAGCCTGAATGACTCATTCTAATAATAAACTCATCTTGTGACAGTAACCTCACTTTCTTCAAAAATATTATCCATGAAAAAGGCTAGGTGGAAATACAGAACATTTTAGAAATATATTCAGACACACACTCAGAAAATCAATACAAATTCCTAATTAATGCAGCCCCATTGGAGATTTCTGGAAAAGCTGTTCATCTTTGTGGACATCTAGATTATTCTAACTCAAGTGGTAGATGTCAAGCATGAGAACATCAAGGGAAGTGACAGATCAAACATCTGGTTGTATGAAAGGACATGTTACCAGAGCTCAGTACTGACCTCACTTTTCATCCTCACAGTTTCATCCTTCAGTTTATTCCTCTTCTGCCATCATGTGTCAGGCTGAAGCACTTTTTGAAGTATAGGAGAAATAAATCACTAGTAATTCAGTAATAAATATCTTTCTATCATAGAATGGCCTGGGTTGCAAAGGAGCACAATGCTC